GGGACGATGGTTGTGGTCTTAAAGCAGGTGGTAATGATGCTCTGGCTGAGGGAGAGGTTGAAGATGGTGGTGAGAACATCAGCCAACTCGCTGGTACATGTCCTGAGAGCCCTCCCAGGGATGTTGTCCGGTCCTGCCGCTTTGTGGGGGTTGATCTTCCTCAGGACTGTGCGTACCTGGCCTGGTGAGACAGTTAGTGGAGGGGAGGTGGGGGGTTGGGAGGTCTCGGTGTGTGTGTGCATCCTCTCTGTGCTGTGGCTGAAGGTCTCAAAGCGGGTGTAGAAGGTGTTGAGGTCATCTGGCAGGCTGTCTGTGGAGCTGATGATGCTGGTGGTGGTCCTGTAGTCTGATTTAACATGATCTTCTAATAAACAGAATGTTCTCTTGCTATTTTCTGGAATTTTATAGATGATTAATTGATAAAATTAATCTGCTGATTGACTGATAATGAAAATAACCTGCTAGTCACAACCTGAATTCGATCAGCTTTCAAAAAACCTCAAGGTACTCAAACATATTGCAAGAAAAGCAGTAAACATATTTTAGAAGCTGAAACCAACAAATGTTTGGCATTTCTGCTTAAAAAAGACAATTGAGTTACTCTTTAATTTGCTTTATTATTATTGAATTCAACTCAGACCTAAACATTGGTTTTCCAGAAAATGATTTTTAAAACTTTCTTTTCCCTCTCTAACAGCCATGGTAGTTTTAAAGGTGTATGTAGGCTCAAAATCGGGTTGAATTTGTTTAACGTCATTCCTTGACCACATGAATCACTGACTTACAAGTTAAAAATTTTTCCTTTACTGCAGTGGCCAGAATTTCTTTACATCCAGATGGTTAGAAGAGTCTTTGGATTCTGAGAATAATCTTAAAACTGCTCTTTAAAGTTTGCCAGGGATTAATTTTGTATGGTTCAAATGTTTGACACAACAAATAAAGGCCCAAACTGTCTATTTTTAATAAACATCTTGACACGTTGCTCTTTATCTTCATCACAAATCTGTGTGCAGACTCGGAGGAAGAGGAGGAGCCAATGAGAAAGTCAAAGAATTCCCCCAAAGAGAAACAGAAGACCAGCAAGCCAGCACCACCTCCCAAAAAAGATCCTGTGCAGTATGTCTCTGAAACAGGTGATGATTTACCAGCATGTTGCAGACATACTGTATGTGCTGGGGCTGGTAACATGGCCAGAATCAGTGTTGTGATTAGTTTGTCATATTTACCTTGTAAAAAAAAAAAAATACATACAGTGGGTACGGAAAGTATTCAGACCCCCTTAAATTTTTCACTCTTTGTTATATTGCAGCCATATGATAAAATCATTTAAGTTCATTTTTTTCCTCATTAATGTACACACAGCACCCCATATTGATAGAAAAACACAGAATTTTTGACATTTTTGCAGATTTATTAAAAAAGAAAAACTGAAATATCACATGGTCATAAGTATTCAGACCCTTTGCTGTGACACTCATATATTTAACTTAGGTGCTGTCCATTTCTTCTGATCATCCCTGAGATGGTTCTACACCTTCATTTGAGTCCAACTGTGTTTGATTATACTGATTGGACGTGATTAGGAAAGCCACACACCTGTCTACATAAGACCCTACAGCTCACAGTGCATGTCAGAGCAAATGAGAATCATGAGGTCAAAGGAACTGCCTGAAGAGCTCAGAGACAGAATTGTGGCAAGGCACAGATCTGGCCAAGGTTACAAAAAAATTTCTGCTGCACTTAAGGTTCCTAAGAGCACAGTGGCCTCCATAATCCTTAAATGGAAGACGTTTGGGACGACCAGAACCCTTCCTAGAGCTGGCCGTCCGACCAAACTGAGCTATCGGGGGAGAAGAGCCTTGGTGAGAGAGGTACAGAAGAACCCAAAGATGACTGTGGCTGAGCTCCAGAGATGCAGTCGGGAGATGGGAGAAAGTTGTAAAAAGTCAACCATCACTGCAGCCCTCCACCAGTCGGGGCTTTAGGGCAGAGTGCCCCGACGGAAGCCTCTCCTCAGTGCAAGACACATGAAAGCCTGCATGGAGTTTGCTAAAAAACACCTGAAGGACTCCAAGATGGTGAGAAATAAGATTCTCTGGTCTGATGAGACCAAGATAGAACTTTTTGGCCTTAATTCTAAGCGGTATGTGTGGAGAAAACCAGGCACTGCTCATCACCTGTCCAATACAGTCCCAACAGTGAAGCATGGTGGTGGCAGCATCATGCTATGGGGGTGTTTTTCAGCTGCAGGGACAGGACGACTGGTTGCAATCGAGGGAAGGATGAATGCGGCCAAGTACAGGGATATCCTGGACGAAAACCTTCTCCAGAGTGCTCAGGACCTCAGACTGGGCCGAAGGTTCACCTTCAAACAAGACAATGACCCTAAGCACACAGCTAAAATAACGAAGGAGTGGCTTCACAACAACTCCGTGACTGTTCTTGAATGGCCCAGCCAGAGCCCTGACTTAAACCCAATTGAGCATCTCTGGAGAGACCTGAAAATGGCTGTCCACCAACATTGACCATCCAACCTGACAGAACTGGAGAGGATCTGCAAGGAGGAATGGCAGAGGATCCCCAAATGCAGGTGTGAAAAACGTGTTGCATCATTCCCAAAAAGACTCATGGCTGTATTAGCTCAAAAGGGTCAAAATTTTAGGGGGGTCTGACTTGTTTCCGTACCCACTGTATGTGCTCACACTTTTCCTGTTTTCACAATGGATATCTAATTGGTCGTCCGTTAGCTTATTTATAGAGCACATCAAAAACAACTTATTTCAGCAATTAAAATAAAAATAAATACATTTGGAATGAACAAAATAAAAGCCTTCAAGTTCAAATCTGGGCAGACTCAAAAGTGTTTATAAGAAGTTGGATCTGAAAGGTCTGTTTTGAGAGGACATTGGTCTTTTTCATTGCAGACTCAGACAGTGACAACTTTCAGTCCTTGAAGAAAGCCTCCAAAGCCAAGCGGAACGGCACATCCAAACTGACAAGGTCCGATACAGAGAGTGCTCGTACAGATGCCAAAGCAGGGGCCAAGTCTCCTATCCAGCCCTCCACACAGGGGAAAGCCGGGGAGAAACCTCCTTCTGTGCCCCTCACACCTAAGTCAGCCCCTCCTCCTCTGCCCAAACAAACCCCCACCTCAGTGCTTGACTACTTCGGTAGTACGTCTGTTCAGCGCTCAGACAAGAAGCTGGTAGCCAGCACCAAGCGAAAGGCTGTGAGTAGTGATGAATTATTTACTGCTTTCACCTCCTCTTTTTAAACCTTTTCATTGTTCTTATGCTTTTCTGTCTAAACCACGTGTCAAACTCAAGGCCCACGGGCCACATCCGGGCCGCGAGATCATTTTATATATCTTTTTTTTTTTTTTAATGGCCCGGCAATGTGAAGCGCCGATAACACACAAACTACAAATCCCATAATGCAGCACAACAGCTGCCTTACCGAACGATAGGCTACCTGCGATCATTCCAGCGTCAATTATGTCAGATCAATCAAGCGTCTGTTGATGTATACAACCCTAATTTCAAATCAAAGCTAGTCCCTAACAATGGCCAAGAGAAAAGTTGAGTCTGAAAACGAAGCCTTTCAAAACCGGTGGGAGGCCGAGTATATGTTTACTGACATTGTCATAAACCCGTGTGTCTTATTTGTGGAGATAATGTGGCTGTAATTAAGGAATATAACCTAAGACGGCACTACGAGACAAAACATCAGGACAAGCTGAAAAACGTGAATGCAGAGCAGAAGCTACAGAAGGTAAAGGGGTTGAAGAGGAATCTGACATCACAGCAGATGTGAAATCACACAGTGAAGCAAGTTTTATTGGGGCAGAGGAGAAAATCAGCCCAGACATTTACCGAGGGAGAGTTTCTGAAGAGCTGCATGATGAAAGTGTGTGACGTCTTGTTTCCAGACAAAAAGCAGGTGTTTGCAAATGTAAGCCTTAGCAGAAATACGGTTGCTGATTTTAAGTTCAAGTTTATTTATTTTGGAATAATATTTTATCCTGTATCTTTTGATTCATATTGATGTTCAAAAACGTTTAGTTTTAGTCTGTTCAATAAATGTTTATCCTGTTCGGCCCGTGACCGAAAGTGTGTTTTGAGTTTTGGCCCCCTGTGAGATTGAGTTTGACACCCCTGGTCTAAACCATCAAGGTCATGACTTTGTTTGAGACAGAATCCTTTTTGTCAGCCTTTCATTACTACTTAAGACAATGATTGTCTTTCATCAAAACCAACGTTCTGTCTACTCTTCAGCCAATTCAGGATGCAGATGATCTGATAAGTGATGAGGAAATCGCCAGGCAGCTGCAGATAGAAGAGGACATGGAGGTAAGTGTCTCAACATAACAATTGCATTGCTCACTGAAGTAGTTATTAGAGCTGAAACAAGTACTTGAAATGTGAATCAAATTGTAGAATGACAAAACATGAATCTGCGGCTACTTTGATAAGCAGTGAAAGGTTTCTTATAAGCACATTTTTGTTTACATTCAGGATTATTTACCAAACCCCACTGTATGTATCGTTGAGGTGTAACAAATGTGTTCACTGTCTTTCCTTCCTGAAACAATTAGCAAAGCTGATTTTTATTATGAGTTTGAACACTGCAGGTTTACTAGCTTGAACTAGTGATGGTGGAGTAGTGCAAAACCTTTGGCTGGAACATGTACTGTGGCACCCACATGCACACGTGCATGTCTCATGCGTGTGAACAAACCAAATGGTCCAAAAACACATTGGGCAATAGTGGTAAAGTCTCCACTTTAATTGTTTAATCGTCACTTTTCAAGTAAAAATGGCAAAAACTCCCCATGGTTGATGCTTTTCTTTTTCATATATGTTGATCTTAGGATTTTTGAGTTTTAAGTTCTTGAAAATTACAATGGACAATTTAGAGATGTTACAAAAAAAAAGGATTCACTGATTGGAAACCAAGATCTGCAGATTGACAGTAATCATTAGCACTGTTTTACCCAGCATACCTGCCTGTAGATTGTCTGGGCCAGTGCACTCACCTTAGACGCGGTTGAAGCCAAGGTGTTTAACCTTTTGAAAGTTTGCCTCTAAAGATATCAGATTATTAGGAATCTTCTGAAGATGTGCTGCAGTATTTAAATAGTGACTCAATGTGTGACATGTTTTAATTTGTGAATATAAAAATACCAGAGTACTATTGGTGGAAAATGCTGTTAACATCTTAGTGCTGATGCTGCACAAAGGTACAGTAAGCTTGCTTTCTACTTTGCCTTGTTCACACTTTTTGCCTTATCACTTCACTCAGCTTGAAAAACAAGTTCATGAGGATGAGGAGTTTGCAAGAACACTGGCCATGCTGGACGACGAGCCCCAGGCAAAGAAGGTGATGAACACTGCAGTATAAAAGCACATTCGCTTTTGATGATGGTGCCTGTTAAATATCATGTTTTGTGTGTCCTCGTTCAGGTTCGGAAAGGCTCTGATGAAAAACAGTCCTCTGCTGGATTTCCCAAAAAGGGACGCACAGACTCGGCTGCTGGCAGCATGAGCAGTCCCTCTAAGACCAACAAAAGCAGTCCGTCTCCTAAGAAGATCCCCGGTCCTGCCAAAGCCAGCTCCAAGCTGGCCTTGATGAAGAAAAAGGATGATAAGAGAGATGAAGGACCAAAGAGCAAAACACAGATTTTACCCACAAAAATGAAAATCTCCCCCAGAAAGGATGCCCCCAATTTGTCGAGCTCTGATATGAAATTTACGCCCACCAAGCATATAACCTCTCCCCGGAAAGCAGAGGTAAGCCAGAATCATTGTATCCATGTCATACTGGACATAGTGCATCAGTAAGTCAATGAGTTTATCCTCGCTCCAATCAGAGCACAACTACCAGTCCTGATGATCCAGAGAAGAAGAAAGGCAACTCTTCAGCGTACAGGAACTACCTCAACAGAGATGGGCCACGAGCTCTGGGCTCCAAGGAAATCCCAAAGGTACCAAACTCATCGGGGGAAAGAAAAGCTGTTCAGCTGACTGGTGTTTTTGTATTGTTCTTAAATGACTGTATACTCTGTGTGTGTGTGTGTGTGTGTGTGTGTGTGTGTGTGTGTGTGTGTGCTTTCCAGGGAGCAGAGAACTGTCTGGAGGGCTGTGTGTTTGTGTTGACAGGGGTCCTGGAGTCAATGGAGAGAGATGATGCTAAAGCCCTCATCGAGCGCTATGGAGGCAAAGTGACGGGAAACGTCAGCAAAAAGACCACCTACCTGATACAGGGCAGAGACAGCGGAGCCTCGAAGCTCGAGAAGGTAACCAACCAGGCAGCCTTTAAAACACAGGCAAATGATTGTCCTCATATGAAGCGAGCTACGAGCCATACTGCTGAGAGGTTTCTGAGCTGGATGTGTGTGACTTCTTTTTAATAGCAGCCATCTACAATTAATTATGAAACCATTTAACGCATCATTGATCTTGTTAGCACTGCATGTGAAATGTCAGATCTATGCAAATTTTATTAAAAGCCATGAACATGCATAGAATAAGGCATTTTTCAGTATATGAACAACTTGTGTAGTGTAAAAGCATTTTGAGTTGTAGTATAAAAAAAAGACAGATGACCTAGTAATCACAGCAACTCGAGACTTTCTTTCCCTTCTTGCAGATTTTCTGTAGTCTTTTCCTGCATCTGTTCTCCAAATAGACTGGGTTTGTACAGTTTGATGTTATGCTCTCGTCTCTCACTGCTCAGGCAGAGAGTTTAGGTACCAAGATCCTGGATGAAGATGGTCTGCTGGAGCTGATCCGAACCAAACCAGGAAAGAAGTCCAAGTATGAGATTGCTGCAGAGGCGGAGGTCAGTCCTCAAAATATCCAAGGTGTGTTTATAATAATGTAGTGTATCATGCTGTGATTGTGGTGTCACAGTTTGAACCCAGAAGATGTTAAAGGCGAACTGAATCGCAGTAAGTAAACCTGCCTGCAGCCTTTGAGGTGGCGAGCTGTTTGAATGACAGCTGGTTTGACTGGGCCAGTGCAGTACGATGGAAACACACTCGTAGCTGTAACTTAATCCTCAGACAGTGTTTAGTGGCAGTGGTGTTAAAGAGTAAGGAGTACACTGTCATTCTGTATGTAAACAAAAATTACACTGGTGCACTTTTTCCTAGTGGGTGTTTGGTGGCTCACTCAAAGAAAATGCACAGGACCAGACAAGTCTTTGTGTGTAGGTGAGCAGAGCGGCTGTAAAAGTACTTTGTGTGCTATGTTTATATTCATGATTGTTTTGGTTTATCAATTTCATGTCATCTGACATTTATTTCATCATTTTTTTTAAAGCAGAATAATTCTTAGAGCCCAAGGTGAAGTCTTTGCATCTTATTTTGTCCAAACAATAATCCAGAGATGTTTGTCCATCCTCTGACAATTAGAGCAAGGCCTCAAAGACCAGGACTCCCACCGGCCAGACTTCAAAGTGCACCCCGAAAGGCCAGAAGATCTCTCCCTCTAAAGGTAATTCCAGGTCTCCTCACACCCCAAGTCCATCAAAGACCGGTCTGACGCAAGGTATTAGTGGTGGGACCAAAGATGGTGGCACTCCTCTTGGAAAAGGCTCAGGTCTCAAGGCCCGGAGAGAGCTGGGCCTTTCCTCCTATGCTGCTTCATCTTCAGCCGCAGGATCATCATCTCCATCAGCCACTGGAGAGGATGCTAGTCTGCTATGGGTGGACAAGTACCGGCCACGCTCACTGAAGACTGTGATTGGCCAGCAGGGGGACCACAGCTGTGCCAATAAGCTGCTGTGCTGGCTGAAGAACTGGCACAAACACCACAGCGGTGGCACATCCAAGCCACCAGGTACTAGATGGTTACTGATCATGCATTTTAGAAGCCAGCACTCGTTTTGATGAACTTTAGCTCTTAAAGAAATGTTTCTGTGTTGAAGACTTTGTGCTGTGTGTGTTTTATTCTACAGCAGCAAGGTTTGGTAAGTCTGGAGGAAAAGATGATGGATCAGGATACAAAGCTGCCCTACTCTCTGGACCTCCAGGGGTTGGAAAGACTACCACAGCTGCTCTCGTCTGTGAGGTCAGTCAGCCTTTGCTGCTTTTTAAAGATTATTGCTACCATGACTGAGTTGGGACAAAAATGCTTTAAACATGGACATGTTTTTCTGACCTCAGCCTCTCTGCTGTGTCTGTGTGTTGGCCTGTAGGAGCTGGGCTTCAGCTACGTGGAGATGAACGCCAGCTGCACTCGCAGCAAAAACAGTCTGAAGGAAGCCGTTGCAGAGTCGCTCAACAACACCAGCATCGAGAACTTCTATAAAGGTGAGTCCTCTCTCCATTTTTGTCTGTCATTTGAACCGAAAACAACATTTTATACATACACACAGTCACAAAATTGGACTTGATGTTATGTTGATGTTAACATTTGGATAACCTAGTTAATGGTTCCATGTTCACTCAATTCTGACCTCCTGTAGGAGATGATCAGAAGTTCAGATTTTGGGGGTGGGGGGGAGGTGTGGCTCAGGAGGTAGAATGTTTCAATGGTAACATTTAAAATACAGAACAAACTCAAATATTTCCTAAACAGAAATCTTCTGCAAAATCAGTCAGCTCACTGCAAGAAACATTAGAAAGTAGGAGTGATTTTTGCCAGATGTATTACTGACTGACAAGGTGGACAGATTGTTGCAGAATAGTGCATTCACATTTCCAGGTCAACTTTTTTCTTCTAAAAATGTCAGTCCTTTCTCTTGGAGAATTAAAGAAATTAAATTTAATTGTAGAAGTGAATTGCATACTGTGTGGTGTATGTCATTTTGGTGTGTGTTTCGTAGGTGTATCTCACACAGTGAGCAGTAAACATGTCCTGATTATGGATGAGATTGATGGCATGGCTGGCAACGAGGACCGTGGAGGAATCCAGGTAAATAAACCTGTTCGTATTCAGATGTTACAGACCAGTCAGATCTATCACCATAAGCACAATGTCGGACTGAAAAATGTAGAGACGCAAAGCAGCAGCTTAGTCTGATAATCTGTCTGCTCTGACTGACCTTCAGATTCACTGGTTAATGGTTCCATGTTCTCTCAATTCTGACCTCCTGTAGGAGATGATCAGCCTGATCAGAAGTTCAAAGATTCCCATCATCTGCATGTGCAACGATCGTAACCACCTGAAGATCAGGTCACTGGCGAACTACTGCTTCGACCTGCGCTTCCAGAGGCCACGAGTGGAACAGATTAAGGTACACGCACCTACACATTCAGGATGCAAGACACAGATGTGCTGAGTGAATACAAACGGTGCATGTACATCAGTTGTAAACATTTGGATAATAGCTGAAGAAAGTTAGCATTAATAAAAATAATAATGCTAATGGACTGTGAGGATACCTGTGGATGGAGACAACCGAGATGAGGTGTCTCCTGACACTTTGTCATATGCATACAGTGCATTATAACACTGCAGCAGTGCACAGGAACTGCTGTCTGCTACCTACTTCTGCACTGATATATTAAAGTAAGCTTATGAATATCATTATTTTATTTTGTCTCCTTCACCTCTCCTCTTGGTTTCTTTTTAATTTTTCAGGGAGCCATGATGTCTATCGCTTTCAAGGAGGGAATCAAAATCCCACCCCCAGCTCTTAATGAAATCATCCTAGCTTCTCATCAGGATGTCCGACAGGTAAAAACTGTGTATTGTAAAAGTCGGTTCACACCAAGGCTTCGTCTTTACGTACCACCCTTGGTCTCCCCTCTCATCATGCTGGTTGTTTTATTCTTCAGGTGATCCACAACCTGAGCATGTGGTCCGCCAAAAACAAGGTGATGACGTATGACCAGTGCAAGTCTGACGCAGCTGGCGCCCGCAAGGACATGAAGCTGGGGCCGTTTGATGTTTGCAGGAAGGTGTTTTCCAGTGGGGAGGAGGCCGCCCACATGAGCCTTATCGACAAGTCTGACCTCTTCTTCCACGACTACTCGCTAGCGCCACTCTTTGTTCAAGAAAACTACCTGCATGTTCGTCCAGCGGCTGCTGGGTGAGAGAGGCTACATGTTTTCACCTTCAGTCTCAGCAAGACCGCAACTTGTCCTTTGTGTTCCTGTATTTATTTTTGTGTGTCTCTTCTCACAGTAAAGATGTGAAGTCTCACCTGGTGCTGCTTAGTAAGACAGCAGAGTCCATCTCTGACGGAGACCTGGTGGACAGAATGATCCGCTCTAGGCAGAACTGGTCACTACTGCCCACCCAGGTAATGCCCTCTCTCTCTTGCGCGCGCACACACGTACACACACACACACACAATCACACAGACATAAATTAAAGAAATATCCTTGCATCTAAAGAAGTCCAGCAGTCATTTCCTGCACTGTCTTCTGGTGTTTGAGTGCAACAATAGATGGTTGTCATACGCTGTCGGGTCACAATGTTCTTCGTAATTTATGTACCCCAACGTAAACTTGACTTTGTTTCATTCACATAATGCTGTATTTCACCATACTCATTAGAAAACCATGGTCACGCAGTCATTCCAGTGGAAATGGCTATGCTACATGTTTCTGAGAAGGAGAAAATGGTCATGTCTGCACAGCATGAGCAGAGCAGCATGTGTAGACAGCTGTACTAATTAAAACAGAAGTACATCTCTTCTTTCAAACCAGCATGAAACTAAATAATGCATATTTGCTTGGGTTTTATGCCCTGCAGGTGCAATGTAATAACACAGCGTATTTCTCAAAACAGTGCTTTGACACAGACCAGCAAAAGGCTGCAGATATTGCTTTTTTTTTTAAAATGTATAATATGTTCTTTTATGACTGGTTATCTAAATATTTGCTGTCATTGAAATTATTGCCTGTGGATCTGTAATTTTAATATACACGAATCTGTGCATTTACTTGTGTGAAACTGACTTTTGTTTAGGCCATCTATGCCAGCGTGTTACCAGGTGAGCTCATGAGAGGCTACATGAGTCAATTCCCCACATTCCCCAGCTGGCTCGGCAAGAACTCCTCCACCAGTAAACATTCCCGTATCGTCCAGGAGCTGGCCTCACACATGAGTTTACAGTGAGTAAAACCTCAAAACACTGTTGTTTAACTGTTTACACACTGCCAAACACAAAATCACACCAAATGCATTTGGTATTTGCAGGACACTGAGTAGCAGACAGGCAGTGAACCTCGATTACCTGCACTACCTGCGGCAGGCACTGCTGACCCCGCTTCAGAGGCACGGAGCAGAGGGCGCCGGACAAGCTGTGCAGCTGCTCAATGACTACCGGCTCATCAAGGAGGATGTGGACAGCATCATGGAGGTCACTGTCTGGGGCGGACAGCCTGACCCCTACTCTAAACTGGACTCGAAGGTCAGTGGGGGGGACGGGACTGATTTGGTCTAGTGACCACGTGTAAGGAATTATGCTACGGATAGTTCAGGACATAGCGATCGACTGGCAGTAGAGCTGCAACTGAGAGAGTACTTGTTCAACAGCAAATTAATCAGCAACTATTTTGATCAATAATTTCTTTTTTTTTTTTTAGCAAAAATGACAAACATTTGTTGGTTTAAGTCTCTCAAATGTGAATATTTGATAGTTTGCAATATACAATAATGAACTGAATATCTTTGTTTTGTTCTGTTGGTTGGACAAAATAATTTCTAAGTATGTCACCTTGGGCTATGGGAGTTTAATCAATAATGTCTTAGCTGAAGGCGCTTATTTATACCTGGGCTAAGAGGAACTGCAGTCTCATTAAATTTAGTCATCTGATCCACTGTTAATCTAAAAATATTGATTCTACAGTAGCAGCTTTAACATTTTTCTTTCCATATGTGATCTAAATGAACTTTATTTACTGCTGCTCAGCTGTGTGTGTTTAATCTTGGTGATTAAACATTACATTTGGAGGTCACGTCACTTCACATTATGACACAGGAAACGCGCATGAGCACCAGCTGCATAACAGAGGTCAACATAGTCAATGACCACATTCCTAGACAGTGAAGAGCAGCGTGTATCACAGTGTAAGATACAAAGATTAGAAATGAAGTCTTACACTGATACTTGGACAGTTACCTGTGTTTTGACTTCTAATGTTCTTCAGAACATAAAAATAGAGTTTGGGCTTTGAAGTCATTGATCTACAGTATATGTGCAACAAACAGTGAATTGTGACACAAGCTTTTGGTTTCTTCTCAGGTGAAGGCAGCTTTCACTCGGGCGTACAACAAAGAAGTTCACCTGACACCGTACTCCCTGCAAGCTGTGAAGAAAGGCCGACGCGGTGGTGGTGGAGAATCGGAGCTGGGAGGGGACGACATGGACCAAGATGTTCAAGAGTCTGAGGACGAGGGGGAGAGCCTCAAAACAGACGCCATGATCAAAGTAAGAGCATTCAATATGTGATAAGTGTGCAAACCTAAACCGATGTCATCTTCTCTACCTATCTCGTCTGTCTCTTGTTTCCTGCAGCAGAAAAAAGCCAGAGCCACCAACGAGACAAAGAAGGAGAAGAAAGATGACTCGGGGAAGGGCAAGGGCAAGGCTAAGAAATGACCGATGACCAGAGGAGCAAAACAAACTGTCATGGCTCACCTCCGACTGCCCACACACGCTGTAATATGTTAATGAGCATCAGCACATAGCGAAACTGAACTCTGCAGGTAAATCTGTTCCTCATTGAAACACTTAGCTCACACTGGCTGAGAGATGTCTTGTTTTTTTTAACTTCCTGTCATGATGCGTATTATCCGCTTGTCCCACCCATTATCATGTCTGTACACCTCTGTAGCGACGTGTCGTGCATTTTTTTCGCTATCGGTTTGTGGTCCAGGTGTTGACTCTGTAAATAACTCGGATGTAAAAGACTGTTACAGCTTCAGTAACATGATGCTTTTGCTCTACAGTTAGCACTGATCCTGTAAATGACAATTTTGTAAAAATTTCATGAGGATTAATAGAGAAATATTTCGCTAATGTGTGTTAGTGATTTATTTATTAAGAAGAGAGATGGCTGATAGGACTGTTGGGGTTAAGATCCCTCTTGGACACAGGTGAGAGTAATGCTGATATACTAACTACAAACTAGGAGATCGATGGTGCCCCCATATCACTGAGTCCTGATTGTGTGCTAGTGGTTCAGGATGTCAGAACTAGAGTTATGCACATAGTTAAACAAAGCACAGTGGTAGTGAGTAAATCATGTAACTCCAATTCTCATTTTACTTTGCTGCTGCTTTTCATAATGTATCAAATTCTACCGTACAAGAAGCTGAAACCAGAGAATTTGTAGCATTTTCCATAAACCTTTGCTTTGATAAACAAAATGGTTGCAGATCATTTTTGTCAGCTAGCTGCCCAATCAATCAGCTGACCTTTTCAGCACTAGGTAAAATCATAGTGAGTGTCAAATGGATTAAGTGCTACTTTCAGACAGAAAACAAACTAGGACTTGAAATTTTGAAATTCAAGTTTTTATTCATGACTTTGGAAATAGAAGTTAACAAAACAGTTTCACCTCAAGGTCCATTTATTAGCAGTTAGTTTGTTAAAGACTTAGCTTAACACAATGTTAATCATCCTAATCTTACAAATATTGTGGTACAAAAAAAATCTGTCTTTGGCCACTTAATTTACAATCAAAGTTTTTACAGATTTTTACAAATATGAATGAATAACTAGGCTTACATAACATGTATATACCTGTAATTGTACGTCTTTACTGATCCTGTTCATCAGGCTGCAGGTATCTGGAACAATCAGAGATCTTCTTCACCTCTTTATCACTCAGAGTCTCCGAGCACATGGGACACACGGTTTCTGTCTCTAACAATCTGGAACAAACAATTGGTGTGGATTTGTAACTGGGACAATGAATGATTTCAACATGGATGTGTTCACTTTTTGGGCTTTATTGCTGAATTCCATTTTTTTTTTTTTTTTAGATCCGGTCAAGCAGATCTTTTATTTTTCCAGACAACAGTGGAGGTCCATGGCACAGACGCAGGACTGACAGTCATTAACAGTGAGAAGAGAAATCATTGTTGGTTTTAGTCTCTGTAGGGAGAATGGTGAAATACTTGATATAGAAAATGACAGTATTTTCAGCAATCCCCCTACAGAAACTACAACCAACACTGATTTGTTTCTACTCAAGGTTAATGCCCATCAGTCCTGGATTAGTTTATCTGTCTGTACCATAGACCCCTGTTGTTGTTCAGAAAAGATTAAAAGCACATCAGGGAAACACACCGCTGCACTGGATGACATGAAAATGAGAATCTGCTTTGTCCTAATTAAAAGACCAAATGCCAACATTCTGTCTTTCTTATGACAAACGGGTTTTCATTTTCATATCACAGATAAATACACATTCATTGTCAGTTAATATAACTAATTACTTCTGGTGAACTCTCACTGGCCACTTTATTAGACACATGCAATGCAATACTAGACTACAATATATTCAGAGGCGTTCCTAATATTCTGAACCTCATGTATGTAGCTGGGGAGGACAAAAATATAGAGGATACCTCTGAATATAATGTAGTCCACTACACCACCAACTTTAACTATGACCCCAATAATAAACATAGTTGAATTGATACATTTGACAATTTCACCAAAAACAAGCATTGAGCTTCATAAACACAGATGTTAAGGTGGAAGTGTTGCATTGAAGTGCATACAGCTGTACCTAATAAAGTGGCCAGTGAGTGTATGTTGATGCACACTTGCATCTCACTTACTGAATGAACTGTGAGTAGAGAGCAGGAAAGTCACAGTAAGGACACACTGACCAGTCTTCTTTCAGCATGTGACGACCCTGAGAAAGGGAATGAAAGATCACATGACAAAAATACAAATGTGGTTCAACACTTACTTTTCACAAAGAAGTGTTAAAATGTCATCTGGTGTGTGTGTGTACCGTGGCAATGCAGTAGGGCAGGCTGTTCTTGCAGGAGATACACAGCAGTTCGTTCTGTGGCAGCTGGAAGCCACAGAAGGGACATGGAGTAGTTTCCTCCTCCAGCTCTGATGTATCTGGACGTCTGGGGTGTGGACACAGTGGAGGGTAGAGTTGGGACGGAAGGAAGCAAGAATGAGACAAATGAGGTGAATAAAGAGGGAGATCAGAAGTGGTAGTTTGACAAATGTTAGCTGGAGAGAAATCTTTTTATGATAAAGCGGACAGGAAGCACAGACATTGTCAGTACTCACCTAACCATAGCCTCGATCTTCTTCCTGTACTTGAGGTCTATCTCGTTTCGGTACTCTGGTCTCATCAGCATGGCAGCAAAGCTGAAGGCCGAGTTCCTCAGCCCCGCACGGTGACATTCGATGACTGCTGATGTCAAAAGGGGAACAACATCTACACACACATAAACACTGATGAGACTTCTTTTGGGTCGTTTTTGGTTCATTTAGTCTTGTTCTTATGTATCCGTCACAATAGTTTTGGAAAAAGGTGAATTTTCTGTTGACTCACGTGCTGGAAACTTGCTGATGTTGTTGCTGACACGAATGAGCATGCGTGCCCCTTTCAGGTGGTCTCCTCTCTTCACATAGATCTACATTAAAAACACAGTGGTGGAAGTACTCAGATTCTCTACTCAAGTAAAAGTAGCAGTACCACAGTGTAAAAATGTCCTAAATTAAAAAATTAATTACCTACAAAGGTTTTAGCATCAAAATATTAAAGTACTCGTGCAGAACATTTTACATCGATGCATATTTATTTACATGATTCAGTTATAATTACTTATGCATTATTGCAGCTGGTAAAAGTGGAGCTAATTTTGTCTTCCAGGAAAGACTGTCAGAAAATATCTGCTGTTATCCCAGCATTTAAATTACACTGCATCTAGGTTTATATGAAGCAGTTCATCATGACTACAGTAAGGTGTGTGAGATGTCAGCTGATCTGACCTTGACCAGTAGGTAGGAGTGGAGGATCATCAGGTTGGTGGCCATCTCAGCAGGGATCTTAATCTTCTGGGCTTGCAGTTCTCTGTACATGCTGAACAGCACATCATGGGCATTACGGTAATTCCCTGTATGAACAGCATGCAAAAAAGACAATGTGATTAATATACATGTATGTCTGTACATATCATGTGTTCTTGTTGTACTCATCTTCTTGGTGAATGCTTGTACCTGCACACTGCTCTTCTCTGGCGATGATGATAGCGGTGCGAGCAGCCTCCCTGTACTGCTGCAATACCATATACAGACGGAACAGGTATTTGGCGTCCTAAAGAAGAGAGATCAAAGATCATTTACACTCAGGGCCAGGTTTACATACATGAACACCCAGGATAAAACGGTGCTGCTGCCTTAATTCGTGTTTAACTATTGTCTGAATTAAGGTAAGTGATAATCAGTGACTATGATTGCCTACGAGAGAGGGTGAACTTCATTGTCTCATTACCTTGGGCATACCGTCGCTTTCCCCCATCAGGTAATCAATCAGCTGATTGGTCAGAGAGATGTCTTTGGCCTGACCTACCTGAAAGCACACACACGCCAAAAACACTTACTTCTTACTTCACTTTATATATGGATAGGCATATTCAGTTTGACACCAACAGCTCTCACCGTCTCAATAGCCATCTCGATTGCCAGGTTGTCATCAGAGTTGGGACACTTCAGGAAGTGTTTCAGGGCCTGAGATAAATAGTGGACATAAAGAGACAGAGCAAATCAGTGTTAGATCATATAAAGGATACAAGTCATAAAATGAATGTTGAGTAAATCAATAAACTCTTACTCTGCTGTACTGTCCACACTTCCGAAAGAACTTGCCAGCCTGCAGGTGTTTCTTCTCTCCCTCAAAGTACAAAGCAATGCTCTGGTAATCCTCCTGTGTCGCCTTGGAGCCTGATGAAAACACACAGGCAGCTAGGAAACAGCCCGAGTCACTGGCACGTTTTGTTAGTGATGCAAACTGTTTCTTAACAAACAAGTACCAGAACATACATGCGTAGAATATTAGTACCAAAGTGTACAGCACATTATAGTATACTGTATGTACTATACATCCACACATTCCCATTCCCATACAGACCAATGATGTCTGCATAGACCTCCATCTGTCCATGCTGTTGCGCCAGCTGGAAGGCTTCATCATTGCACTGAGACAGAACCAGGAAGTAGATGGCTGAGCCGTAGTCGTTCAACCGTAGGAAGAACCTGAGACACACAAACATATGGTTAAAGTCTATAAGAAAAACAAACTAGCTGAAACTATTGCTTCATTAATCACTGGTCAACTGACATGAAATCTTAGCAGTAGCAATTCTAATAATTGACTAGTTGTGTATGTTCACACAAAAATACCAAACATTCACTTGTTTCAGCTTCTCAAATGGGAAGGTTTGCAGTTTCTCTCAGTTTTACATTACTGTGGCTTGAATATCTTTGTGTTGTTTGACTGCTGGTCAGACATTAAAAAAAAGCAATTTGAGGATGTCGCCTTAAAAATGAAGAAAATCACAGAAAATGGAAACAGTTGATAATGTGTGATTTCTAATTTGTGTGTATTGATGTGTAGGAAGTGTACCTGACTTGTTCTCTCAGAGTCAGCAGGTGACATCCATTAACCATATACAACATTCACTTCATTATGGCCAGATCATGGGAAACAGTGACAGTGAATCTTTTCTGGAGACCAAGAGGCTAAATAAGATGGAAAATAATTATGCAAGCATGCCCTGCTTCAAACTGCTTATCATCAGTTGTGGATTTTTTTAGTTAAAAGTAAAATTAGGATTTAGGAATACATTTATTGTGAAGGCTTACAGCACAACGTCTGACCCCTCAACTCACATCCAGCTCATTGGGCGTCACTCGGACATGAACATAGGATAGGCATCAGTGTTTCAAACTGGACAGCCTAAAAACCAAAATTGCCAGTAAATAGTGGCAAAAAGTGTTTGTATTTAATAGCTGGAAGCTAGGCATTTTCCTACTAAGGGAACGACTGCAGAGCCCAGGTGTTGTGTCCGTCAACAGATACAAGAACACAACTCGAAGCACTTTAAAGTAAGTGACTGTGTAGCTTAAAGTCTATTTTAATTATGGGTCTTATGTCAACAGGTTGGGTCTGGTCTGGATTTCATTTAGAAAATAACTCTGGGTAATGGGTCAGGTCCAATACAGAGCTTTGTGGATGTGGGTTTTCAAAATTTGATCCATGTAGGACTGTGATCCAGACCGAAGTTAAGGTAAGGGTTCATGTTGAAGTAACTGGTTTTTGGAGAAGTTATAGTTGGATGAACAGAAAGAGTCATTACTTTTACCAAGGTTTGGTTGCATGTGTATGTCTGTGCTCTTGTTTGTCCAACCTGGCAACCATCTTTGCGCCATCGATGCTCTGCGTCTCCCTGACGATACGAACGGCGTCCTCGGGATTGTTCAGGTGCTCCAGCTGCACACGAATCACATTGTCCCAGTCTTTCGCACTCTCATAGGCCTGTGCGGCATCTTTATACCTGGTTGGTACAGTACACATCACACCAGCTTCTCTTTCAAAGATTCAACTGTTTTCACTTTTTACAGACTAAGAACCTACTTGCCATCTGCCTCCTTGGCCTTGGCATACTGCAGGTGGATCTTGGGAGAGGACACGTTTGGGAGCAGCTCTCCCACCTTTGCCCTGTGTATGGAGCACATTTTTTTTAAACGAATAACATAAAGGAGGAGAAAAACGTGCACATCTGCGTGTTGGTGTTTGTCTCACCAGTTCTTGCAACGAATGTAGACCGACGCAGCCTTGTCATAATACTGGCCTTTCTCATAGAGCTGAGCAGCTTCAGAGAATTGCTGATAGAAAGAGAAGAAAATCACAGAAGAAGCTATAAACACGACATTCAAAAACATTATTTGATGCTCAGATGCTTGCAACACTGCACAAGAAATGATAATCACATTCACAAACACAGAAGATGACCATGATCTACCACTCAAATATAACCAAAACATCGTCAGCTTACAAGAAGAAAGTGCCAAGGCTATCCCTCTACCTTCATGCTCTCCAGAATTGCTCCACATTCCTTCTTCAGGACTCTGCTTGGGTGCTGAATAGCCTGGGAGACTCCTCTTCTGATGTCACCCATCCTGATGGACATCCTGGCTATGCCTGCTTGACACGCCTCATCATGCTCCTGGAAATGCAGAGTGAAGCAAAGATGGGGACAGTGAGGACAGTAGAGAGAGGAGACTTCAGTCATTTCATTATCATCACCTTTACTCTGACTGCTGCCACCTAGTCCCACCAGAGGTTTTCCACTCCACTGTCATCAAGTGGTTGCACATGGGGGGGATTTGTTGCGTTTATTCTCTATAATACTGGAAGGTCTAACTAGACCTTATTGTGTAAAGTGCTTTGAAATGATTTTTTGTGGTGATCTGCTGCTATACAAATAAAACTGAATTGTACGAAACCACAAATCCTTAGAAATAAATCTGAAAGGTTCTAAGTGTGATATACAGCAAATCTATGTACTTATCTTCAATAGCAATAAGACTCCCAGGAAGCCTCTGACATTACTGACTGGATGTGCCATTTTTTAAAATTAATTATTGTTACTGCTGAAAGAGGAATTAACATTTCTGCACACTGCACTTACTTTAAAAACGAACATTTCTGCACACTGCACTTACTTTATTATTGTGGGTCATGCCTTTTTCATAGTGTGCTAATGCATTCACATAGTCTCCACTACAAAGAAGGACAAAGATGTTTAGATTCAGTGCAGATACTGTAGATCTGAATGGTATATGTATGTGTGTTGTGTATATGACCTTACATGAACTCCAGGTGGATTGCATATTCTTTGGATATAAAGGGAATCTGATTTTCTGCTAGGCTCTTGGCTAACAAAAGAGCACTGTCCCAGTGCAACAGGTCCCTCCTCATCTAAAACACACACACACACACACACACAAAATACTAACGCATCATACATAGAACTGTAAAGAATTACTTAAGACATTATATTAAAGAAAATACCACAATAAAGCACAAGGTCTTGGTCTCTTATACATAGCATATACAAACACACCTCCAGGGCGGTGATTGGACAATTTGAAGACAGATAGAGGTCCTGTGCCAGGTTGTAGTCATCTAGAAACATGGCCAAATGTCCTGCCAGTAAATTCCTGTTCTCTATACCCTGGACAGCGAGAGACACAGAGACCAAAAGAGGTGAAATAAGGAGAGAGAGAAAGAATGTTAACAGGCAGAAGTATGGTCTTTTTTGTGTGTGACATGTAAACAATTGTGTGTTTTGTACCTGGATGCCCTGCAGTGATAGGACCATGCCTGCATTGCCGCTCATGCGGTAGACCTGGATGGCCAGCTCAACCTCCATGTGGACCAGACAGGCTTTGCCTAACTCAGCCCAGTCTGTGTCACTGCCTGCAGCCTTACACAGATCAAAGGCTTCGTGGAATCTGGACATACACATACAAATGTTTTGCCCTGTGCAGATCTCAGATGGAACAAATTAAAATGTTCTTCATGAAGTGAAATTCTGCTCCTACTCTCAGTGACCCATCATTCTGCACATACTGTAACTGTACTTTAATAACTGTCTTGCAAAATGGAAGAAAAAGAAGAATAGCCACCTTTCTATCTTTTAATAAGGATAATCACCTTTATTTGCCCAAGTATGTTAAACACAAGGAATTTGTTTCCGGTACAGAGCCAAGGCAGCCATCTGCAGCGCCAACTCACACCGATGGCTCTAACCATCGGGGGCATGTCTTGCCCAAGGACACTTCGACATGTGGACTACAGGCACCGTGATTCAAACCGCCAACCCTCTGGTTGGGAGACGACTACTCTACCCACTGAACCACAGTCGCCCCATTTTCATATTATTATTTTGACATTTTCAAAAATGTGCAAGTGGATATGAACACACCCTTGTCAGCAAATTACAGTTGTGCTTTTTTGGGGGGTCTTTCAGAAGCTGAAACTGATTCAGTAATCCATTACCAGAACAATATTAGTTTGTGAAACACCACAAGCATTATTACTGTCATCCTGGGTAGCAAAATATTGTTTTAACCTTAACAACATCTAATAAAATTGAACTGACCTCTTCAGCACCAGTGCCTGGGTGATTTGCTTGCTGAGCTCCGGTGGTGAATCTGTCAGTGTGTCGGCTGAGTGCTTGAGGAAGGAGTGCGTGCTCAGAGCCACTTCATTTGTCTTGCCGCTTGCTGTCTGACAAGTCAGCTCCCCATTGTGCAAGAGCAAAGGCTTTTGGGAAAAGGGAAGTGCAGTGCTCCCCACCAACAACACTCGGGGGCCTGGTCAGACACAGTTAGAGGGTCAAGACAAATTTTATTTATACAGCACCATTTCATACAGAAGCAGGTACATCTGAAAAGGAAAGGAGAAGGCGGAAAGCCTAAAATAATGTTCCTGTTCTCCTACATTTACATTACAGAAGTAACAGAAGAATTTTAAGGAGTAACAAAAATCTGACACCGTTTAGGATGTTAGAGGTAAAAGTGCAAACATGTGCGTGATGGTGTGGCATCTTCCTACCATATATGGTAGTTTTATGCAGGGCATAGGTGTAGACCTTGTCATCATCATAAGCTACAAACACTCCTCTGTCAGCATGCCAGTTGTCCCACAGCACTCCTTTGATGGTGGGAGAGAAGTTGGGGAGCTCAAAGCAGGAGTCTGTTGCCTGGTTTGGATGGACACGCACAAAAAATAAAAGATTAGGACTACAGTACTACAGTATATAGTGTTGTGTAGTCACGTTGGTCTGGTTTGCTTAAAAGAATACCTAAATTTAGCCTGCAGCCATCAAGATCATGTAGAGTAATTTACAAGGTGAAATTAATTAAGTTTAAGCACAGATTTAACTGGGAATGTTTACACAGACGGTCTCAAATGCTCATTCTCAAAGTGAGACTAATTTGAATACTAAAGTTTTGCAATTTAGGATTTTTAGCTTTTCTAGAAACATACTGTAGTTTGAAAATCAACAAATCATTTCCTTTACACTTTGTTAATCAAAATTTCTTCTGTTAATCTGCATGTGTACTGTATTTTCAGCAGCATGTATTCGTATACTGTGTGTGCCAAGTAACCATGTATACTGACATTTGCAGGGGAAAGCAGGAAGCCGCAGCTCTTGTCATCGATAAAGACCAGACGTGTGCCATTTAGGTCTGGGAACACTTTTCTTACACCAACTGAGTGGCTGTAGCTGCTCACAGTCTCCCAGTCCTCCAACAGGACACACATTACGTTACCCGCCTGAGAGACAAGAACATTCATTAGGAAAAGAGACAATTATAGGCATCAAAAAAGAAAGTAGACCGAGATAAGAGGATATTGTGAACATGATGAAAAGAAAACAAATAGAAGAAAAAAATCAGCACATCTTGAGTTTTGATGATGAAATCAATAAACTTACAGTTTTGTACAATACATAATTATATATGCTAGAGGGCTTGGCTGAGGTGAGGATATACTGAGTCTTACATCAGTGCTGTAGTACAGGAAGTCAGCAGTAAGGGCATGGCAAAGGATCCGACCCTTTCTGTCATCATCTGGAAACAACTTCATCTGCTTCTTCTCCTCCAGGTCTCTGCCTTCAATCTGAACATGCACACAGGGAAGCACAAACCTGAAGCAATTTAAACAATAAATGGTGGAGCCAGTACAATAGTTCACTGGTCAATAAAGAGAGAAACAGAGCGCTGTCACCTACACATACAGGTAACTCACCATGTGCAGCTGCACTTTTCCTTCAAACAGCGCTGCTGCATAGTCTGAGTTAAGGCGCATGCTGGCTATCGTCCCCAAATACTCAATGTCCTTCAGCTTGTTAAAACCTGAGTGACATACAAGGACAGCCTGGTACAACTTACAGTATGTGTAGACATGACAAAATTAATTCATACACACACCACATAACATTGTTTAATGGTTAATTACACATCACACACCAGGTTCTTGGTCTACTATCTCGTAGAACCAGGCTCTGTTGTTCATCCCCACTGCCACATGGTATGGCCCCACTGCAATGAAAGTGGGCTCTACTTCTACTTCTATGGTCACAGGACTCTCCTGAAAAACAATGTGCATCAGAGACAGAGTTTATGTTGATTCTGGTCAGTAGTATTTATACCTAACAGTGCAGAATCACAACTAGCGCAGTCTAACATACTGTACATTTGAATTACCTCAATTTCTTGCAAATCTTTCCTCCAATCTCCCCAAGCCCTGAGCTCGCTTTTCTTTTTGACCAAAAACTGTTCTCTTCCATGAAGATTTCTGGGTCATAGTAATACTGTTAGAAAATGAACACCCTTACTATTGGCTCCTGTAACCTTGTACATCTATTACTTTTGGCAAGGAAACTGTATTTTTGGCACTGTTTGTTGTCAGCAAGATATCTCCAAACCTGCTATACAGAGTTCAGTTAAATTAGGTGCAAAGTTACAGGTAAAGGATTAACTGACTTAGGGTTACTATGTTGTCATTTATAAAGCAATTAACACTGTTTTTTATGTTCTCCAAATTGTAAGGAGCAGAAGTAACCTTTTTTTTTAAAGGTGAAAGTATGAGGGACTATGCAATAATCAACTGAGGTGCAATGCATTGTAAATATGCACACATGTAATATATCTTGTTCCTGATTTTTCTCAAATATGTTATATTGTCTTGTTTTTAGGTATTTTTGAGTAGTTCTTCAGAGATCCTTATGGCTGAAATACAGGTATTTTTCCCCATTGTGGGATTAAATATGGGAGTAATATTCTTGTTCTTCATTCCTCTCAAATACTTTATTTTGTCTTGTTCTTAGGTAATTAATTGTGGGAGGATTATCTTGTTCCTGATTGTATCTCAAATACTATTTTTTGTCTGGTTTTGGGTACTTGGAATTTGTTTCTCACAATATGTGTGTGGTGTATGTTCTTATGGTGTTTTGTTGCTGCTCTCTATTGCTGCTGGAACACAGGAATTTCCCCATTGTGGGATCAATAAAGTCCTACCTTACCTTACCTTAACTAGCTTCCCATTTCTACCAACAGTAACAAGCAAAACATTACTCAACCACTCATTCATCAAATGTTGTCCAGTTTTCACTAAATTGGTACGTAAAACAGTTGGAAGAGTTTTAAATATGATTTATTTCTTGTTATAGTGCTGTATTAATTCCCTTTCTACACTCTTGACAAAAATTTGTTCAAGATTTATTATCTGATAGGTTTTTTGTTATTTCTGTGGGAGTGAGTGAGTGTGTCTTTATGTCCTCACCCTTTCTACCTGGTTGGAGACGGTGACCTCCAGCTGGGAGGTGAGGTAGGCCAGCCGGGTACCAAAGCTGTCACCCAGGATGGGAAGCTTGGTCAGAAAAACATGAACCGCCCCTTTCTGTGTGGAAACCGCCAACAGCTGACCATCATCGGTCCAGCTCAGTTGGTCCAGACCTGGAGGAGGAAGGTGGGAAGCAATAAGGGAGAATTGTTCAGTATAGCCCTCTGACAGTCTGGAAAAGATTAGTGTCTCACCTTTAGTCTCATCATCCAGCCGAACTACATTACTGATGTCTCTGAGTTCAGAAAGCTCATGGATTTTTATGCTGCAACAAGAATCACATGGCTTTAGTTTCTCATGCAAACAAATAAACAGAATAAAGGTGCTGTCTCTTTTGAAAGCCTGTGTGTACTTGTTGTCTCCGCAGGAGGCGGCTTTGTTTAGTGCTGGTGAGACGGCGACACTGTTGAGACAATCTTTATGGTTGTGAGCCTGGTAGAGCTCCATTCCCATCTCTGTGATGTGAGTGGAAATAACCAAAAAGTATCCATGGGAGAAGCCAATGAGTATATATCCATCCCCATACCTGAAAGTGACAGAAAGAGAGAAACCTAATTTTAAGACAAATATAGTATCTCATGGCCATATTCATTATCTGTGCTTGGTGGTGTGGTGTGCCCAGATGTGTGAGCATGTGCAGTACCAGCGATAGGATACAATGCTTCCATAGTGGGACATAAAGGTCAAATCTGACCAGTTTTCAGGGTTGTTAATATCGAAAAGAATCAGTCTCTTCTTGTCCACAGACACGCTCACCTAAAGGGTAGGAGATGCAAGAGGCTGAGCATATCCCAAGACATGACTGGTACATTGTAAATCTCTGGGGAACCCTTTGGAATCACCTGCTTTTATATATAAATTAAAAATATGGAAAGATCTACATCTAAATAGGATTAGGAACAAACATTTTAACTAATGACAAACAAATCACTGTATTGGTCTTGTCCACACTGAATAGATCATTCACAGTATAGGGCGGAAAAGGAATGTGAACTTATCTAATGACTTCATCAACAGCTATAGTAACTAGAGTTAGGCGTTAACAAACCACATTTGAGGAGGGTTACAAAGAAGTCCACAGTTAGAAAAATTGTCTATAAACAGAGATGATTTAGTAATGTGGCTACTCCTTAGAAGTGGACTCCCAGCTAAAATGACATTAAAGGCACAACACAGAATGCTCAGTGAGGTAACAAAAGAAGCACAAAGTTAAAGCTTAAACGAATCATTGGAGCCAAAAAAGCAGGACTGCATGCCAACATAAAAACAAAATCCCAACAGTGAAGTAGGATGGAGGGAGCAACAAGTGACAAAATTATAGTTTTACTGCAGTATTTTTATATATAAATGTTATTTTTGCAACAATTTTGTACTTTGAGTGTTTTTGATTCGTGTAAACCTTTGGATTAGACTTTCTGGGACTGGCCAACTTGCCATCACTGAGGAAACAATTTGTTTAAGGTATCTTACAGGATAATGTCAGCGTGCCTGTCCACGAACTGAGGCTCAGCAGAGGTTGGGGGATGCAGCAAGACAGTGACTCCTAAAAATCAAATACTCCACAATGCTACAGAATGACCTTAAACAATGAAAATCCACCTTTTGGAGTGGCCCAAATGGAGTACCAATGGAGGTACTACCAGTTATTAAATCCAAGGGTTCTCATACTGTTTCCACTAGCACTGTGAATGTTCAATGGGTTTGTTCAATGACACACAAAGGATTATAGCAACTGTACTGTAAGCACATTCTGTCTTGTCTATACTTGTGAATAAGATGAAGACCATGTCACATTTTATGACCAATTAATGCAGAAAGCCTGGTGATTCCACAGGGTTCACATACTTTCTCTTGTCAGACGTATATACAGCATTACTTTTTTTTCTTTTAACCATAAGGTTTAGAGTTTTATCTGCACTCTTCATTGCACTGATCAGTCTTCAAGTTCTAACAAATGTTTCACTTATGTAAACTTTAAATGTGTGTAAAGGTTTAGCCCAGTATGACATGTAAAAAAAGTGACAGCTAAATGCAAGACACTAGAATGAATCTAAATTATATAGTGTACACATAAGATGAATGCAGATAATGAAAGTTAGTGAAAATATTGGAGAAAACAACTGCAAAAAACTTACAGCGTTCTCTCCTTGAGTGGACCTTTCATCAGTCTTCATCACTGAGAAGTACATTTCAGCAGGCTCACCACGAAGTGCTGTCTGGTAAAAGAACAGAAAGATAAACTGGATCCTTTTTTCCCATCAGTTTTTCCCTTATTGTTTCTCCTCTACCTAGTGTTATGGTGTCTTCTGAAACCAGTGATGTGGCTATAATCTGATGTCAAAACTTCACAGTTTCATGGCTAAAGTGATGTTCACCTATTTACGTTGCCTGTTTGTTTATGCAGTCATGTATATGTGTGACTACCTGTCTGATGGTGTCCCCCTCATGATTGCTGATGCTCAGTGTGTTGTCATCACTGCCCAGAGCCAGTAGATTCTCAGTACTCCAGCACCCACAGGTGATCTTTTTGGTGTGTTTACCTAGCATGTGCAGAGAGACACGGACAGACAATCAATATAAGAGAAGTAACTAAAGAGGACCAAAACCATAAACAAATCTCTATATAGTTGTGTTGCATAATATGTGTATTACCCAGTACAGGGATCTTGCGTGAAGTCTGCTGATTGTAGATCAACAGGTTTCCTTTAACTGTCCCAACTGCCAACAATGGGCCAGTCTTTGACCACAGGATGAAGGACATTGGATCTCTGTAGAAACAAATCACAATATTAGAAATGATTAAGAATAATTTTACTGCTACAGTTTGAGTTTGAGTTACATGGATTGAAATTATGAATGCACTGGCACCAAATATTCAGCCTGAACCAATGTATCTGTAGCTCCTCCTTTGGAAAGCTGATGCCTGTGTATCATACCTCATGCCACTGTCTATCTGGGATGTTTTATTGACACTGGCAACCCAGAGATAGATGGAGCTGGATTTTGCGGCTATCACTGCCAAAATGTCTCCATCCTTATCCCAGTCCATACCCACACAGCGACTAGAGGAAGCACGACAAACAAGAAAAAGATTAACTTACCGTAAAACACTTTTGAACATCAAAAGTGACTAGACAAAGTTGGAGCCAAAAACAACACTGTCACACTAACCCTGGCAGGTTAAGTTCTGTCCACTTGTGTCCATGTCGATCAAATATTTTCACTGAGTTGTCCTGCCTGCATGGTTAGAAGAATACTGTACAGTTTAGCTACTGTGCTGATGTTAATCTTTTATAAAGGCAGAGATGATCAGACATTTTATTTGGGCTAAATTCTTTACCACAAGAGTTTACTCACCCTGCAACAGCGATATAGTTACCAAGGGTTTTCTGCCACTTATACAGTACACTAGAACCTGCCCAGGCTTTTTCAGCAAGAATAAAAACGTTCTGTGGACACAAAGATGCATTTTTAAGTAAGCTTAATTTGGGGAAAAATATATACTAGTGAGTGAAATTAAAGTAACATTGATAGCTTTCTGGAGAGGAATACAAAACATGATTCGCAAGCGGCGGTTACAGCGTCTTTTACAAAACAATAATTATCCTCAAGTGCCCCATAAACCTGAATTAACAGCTAGATCTGTAGGCCATTTCCAATGTTATAAGGAGGAACAAACGTTTATTCACTGTTAATCTAAATCCACTTCTAATACCAGATCTTTTAAGGTGCTGAAATAATTAAGCCGCATAAAGATTTACCGTAAAAACGCTAAAATATGTCTAAAACGTTACACGGACAGTTAACAGTTGCCAAAGTTCACAATATGCAAGTGGTGTAAATAATTTAAGGAATGCAGGCGACCACTACAGCACAATGTGTTATGATTATTCGGACCGTTAGCTAACGTTGGCCAAACAAAATGCTTTCCTGTTGTCCTTAGAAAAAGTGTGGTCTTATAAGATAGCTTATCCTGACATTTGGAAAAGCTGTGCGATAATATACCTGGTTAGTTGATTTAGGTTAACGCTATAGTTAAAAAATAGCTGGCTCGGTTAACGTTAGGTTAGCTACTTTATCATTAGCCAGTGGAAAACGCTAACATTACTCCTAGCTTGGTTGTTGCCTAGCTAATGAAGGCTACTGTTAGCATGCTAGCTAGCTGAAGCCCGTTCATACAATCAAAGTCAAAGGAATCATAATGATGAAACCAGAAGTAATGCTGGTATTCTCAATTATTTTGCTGGTACCGACCTTCATCTTGGTGACATTTATTTAATCATTTCATCTTTCAACAGTTCTTTTCTGCTCAAAGTATATTCGACATAGCTGCTGGGTGTATCCCACAATTCATCACTCTAAAGCGTCTGTAGCTGAAGCGATGTCATAGCAACAGCTATCAGCCAATGAGAGTCATCCAAAGCAGATCTAGGTGATGGGCGATTTTTCTAAAGTGATGATAAATAGGTGATATTTAAGTTGTAAAATTAGACTGATCCACCTGACATGGATCTACAGTAAAGACATCGGGATGTCATTCAGACTAGAGAGAAGTGTGGCTGGATTTTAATCAAAAGAGGGAAGATGGCCAAGACTGAAGGGTTAGAACTGCCAGCAGGCAGGAACAACACAACCAGGTACTGTATAGAAACATCTGTGCTGAGTATGGCCAGACCCTCTAAAGTCCAGATGGGAGAATCCTCAGAAGGTTACGGAGAATAACAAGACAAAGATCCTGTGGTACTTCCAGATCCAGACAGAGAGGAAGGTAATGACTAACCAATCAGACATTGTAGTAGTACACAAGGAATGGAAAGCAGCAGCAGTGATAGATGTAACAGTCCCAAGTGACAGCAACATCAGTAAGGAAGAGTATGAGAAACTGGAGAAGTACTGAGGCCTGAAAGAGGAACTGTATACATCACAAACCATGTAAAAGAATGATAAAGATTAAGTGGCTAGAGGACATAAAGGAAAACAAGCAAAACAAAACTACATCATAGTATCACAGCAGTTTTACTATCAGTAGTAAATTGTCATATATTATGGTGCTTCCACCACAGATCCAGTAGAGGGCAGTGCAGCATTTATGACTTTCTCTTTCCAGCGTCCCATTTGTTTCTGTGGTGCTGTGTAGGTAATCAGTGATGCTTTGTTTAAAGACAGAAAACACCATCTTCAGTTTTTGTAATGGCTCACTGTACCTTCCTTGTCACCAACTGAAATAAATCAAGTCAATTGCTCCTTCTCTTGTGTTATTTCACAGTGACTAAAAGCAGCAGAAAACACCCTGGTGACACAGCACCTCCTGTGCTTTGTCACATGTTAATGAAGGAGTGCCAGTTTATTTTGCTGTATGAACATAGGAGCTGAGACAAGATGCCATCTGTGTGACACAAATATTCCTGACTGTGCTCCAGCATGCAGAAGTAGAATACATCCTGCTGACTCAGACCTCATTGAGATGCACCGAAGGGAGCAGCTGTACAATTTCCCAGCAAAATGGTGAAATTAGAGCAGAAAGATAAGAAAAATGAATGTTGCCAGCAAGACAATAAACCCCAAGTGAGCACAACAGCTGAATGTTTTTTTTAATCTATGGTACATGTTTTAAAGGAGCTATACTTTGGTCTACAAACAAAATGCTTCCAGTCTTTGCCAATTCAGTGCTTCAAAATCCAAAAACGTCCACATTTCAATTTGGAAGCAGAAAACCTTTTTTTAAATTGTAGACCAGTGAAATCAGTCTCATCCAATTATCTTGTAATCCAGTTATAAATCAAGAAAAGTCTCTCATTTAATAAATTTTCCTGACACCAGAGAACTTCCTCTTGTTCTCGTCATACATAATGGACTCAGGTGCTGTTAAGGCAGAAAGACAAGGTCACTGGCATCTTTTCTCAGTACCGCTGGGAGCTGGTTATGATTTAAAGCTTCCCATGCAATAAGTAACTGAATGAATCAGTTGGCTACTGGCTGCTGACACAAGGTTAAAATGCCTGTAAATTGTGAGCATTCCTCTTCCTCATACACTTGTTTGACTCAGCAAACATTTTAACCTGCAGCTGTGTCTCTGGCTTAGGGTGCAGCTTCTAAGTTAGCACACAATGAGTGATGAGGCCCCACATTAACCTCTAGGTTCACAAAATTAATTCAGAGTAATAGTTAAGGAGAAATAACACATACCTAAGCAGAAAGACTGGTATAAACCTCACAGAAACCTTTTAACTGCAAGGGCCTTTGCTAGGGCTGCTGTGAGGGGGGGAGCTGTTAGTGATAAGAACCACATAGACATACACATTTAAACGATAATGCCATTTATAATAGTGACAAATGTAATCTGCTTGCAAAAACATCTGTACCATAAACTTGATTTAGCTGTTAACGTGTTCATGTTTTACCCATGAAAAAACAGCAACAAGTGTTAAATCACATTTTGACTTTAATGTATAAAAGTCCAATAACAGCATATTGTAGCAGCATATATTGTACATACATAATTTGTACTGTTGAAGAGGAGGTGAAATGTTCTGGTACAAATAAGGAGATGAGCAGTGGTACACATCTGCCTCTAAATTCATGGTACAAAAAAGAAACACACAATAATATATGGTATATTTAGTATGTACTGTATAATATACAGAATAATGCCATTACACCACATAGTTTATATTTATGTACACCATATACAATAATATATACCTTGATTTGGAATGTTTGTCTTTATTTTTAAGCTCTGTCTGAGAGCAGGGGAAGAACACAGAATAATGCAGCAGTGTATGAGGCTTGAATAAACATCAGCGCCCCTACGGGGAATTGCTAGCCTGCCACCTGCCATGCCGGCAAATTTGGGAGGCTTTTCAATCTTCACTGACCTGACTCCTGGGGCACTTGGCTCCGGGAGGCTTTTCAATCTTCATTGACCTGACTCCTGGGGCACTTGGCTCCCAGCTGTATGGTGAACGTGTGTCTCTTTATACAAGTGTGTGTGTGTGTGTGTGTGTCAGAGAGAGAGAGTACGTGATATGTCCATGTACATTTGTGAAGTGCATCCTGGGGGCTACATTAGGTCTGGATCTGTCAGTTCAGACAGGATCAGGAATTTGCTTTCTGTACATTAGACCAGACAGGATGCTTGCTTTGCCTCTTGGCATCAGGAATTTGCTTTCTGTACATTAGACACACAAACATACATGTGTTTTCATCACTTCAGGGGCAATTATATTCACTTGCATTCAATTCCCTTGCGTTTTCATCACTTCAGGGGAAATTATATTCACTTGCATTCAATTCCCTGGATACAATAACCACTACTTTACCCTAACCAAACCTTAACCTAACCGCAAAATGACCCCAACCTTAATCCAAGTCATCCCTCTAAAATGTAATGGATTACATTTAGTGTCCTTATGGGGACAAAAGTAAGCCTCCACACAAACTAGTGATGGCAGAAACAACGCTTTCCGAAGCTTTAAACCAAGTAAACACAAATGGAAAATGGTGGTGACATCCAATGGCCAAATGCCTGTACATATAACTGTATAATAGAAACTGCCAACATGGTGATTCACTGATTCATAAGACAGATCTACATTTTTTAAATAATTTTGCAAAATAAATTTATGTATGTGTATATGTGGTGGCAAATGCTTTTGACTGGAACTTGACGGGGGAAGAGTGTTAATGTTTGAGTCATTTTCACAATATTGTGCGACAATAAAGCTTATATATATTATTTGTTAGATTTATAGATATGCATCCTATAAAAGAAGGTACTTATTTTCATATACCTTTAAAATGGGTACATATTGTCAACAAAACTGTTTGTAGAAAGTAGGCCTACATTCTCTGATGGGGAGTGGTCGTGTGCTGTAGATGGGGAGTGTTTTCTTTTTGCCGTGCTGTAGGCCTGTCATTTAAATCCTCTGGATGCTTAGAATGGAGGTGTATTAACACTGATGTGCTGTTAGGAAATGCCAGATGATCGTTACAAATGTTACATTTGAATAAATTGGGCTGCAAAAGCTCAGAATGCTCCCCCATAAGTGGCCTTGCTCTTTTTCTTGCTCCCTCCATCATCCAAATCGACCTCTCCAAATATCAAATACATTTGTCTGTCTCCTACACAAAACCCCACAAAATCTGGCCATTTTCATGGACTTTTATTGCGTTAATGGGACGTGGTACATCTGATGAGCCATAAGTAACAGGAATCCCTGACTGAGGATCAGCCCAAACTCTTATTTGGTTATTCAGGTAGTTTGTCAACTGAATCAACTGACTCAAGATCATGTATGTTCCATTGGTCTCTAGCAGTGAACAGCCAAAATATGGAACGTTTCATGAACCAATGAGAAACAATCATGTGACTTGGCCACGTTGACCCACACCCCGAAGCAGTGCTTTGAAACAGAAGTGTTGCAAATGGTTCAAAGCGTATCGATATGGTGTTTCAAGTCCACCCATCACTAACACACACACGTACGCATGCAGGAGCAGACCAAGTCAAACAGTAGAATACACAATTAAGTATACAGCCTAAATGATCGTGCCATGTCTCAGTATGGAACCTGTAGTCAGAATCTTTGCATTTTTGACATTTCATCATGCAGGTTTACTTTGATAAGTCAAAATATTAAGACAAGATTGTTTCAGGGGATCCATTTTCTACTCATGTCTCACACAGTAGCATCAAATTCAATGACACTTTGAGCTTGACATCAAACAAAACACCAGCACTGGCTGAATAATCATTATTAGATTCGTGGTCTCATTACTGTATATGGTCTGCTGCTCATTTTGTATGGGTATCCGATTCAGCTCTAAAATGTAGTGGTGCGTGTGTGTGGTGATGAAATGGGAAAATGAGAATGAAGAGAAAGCAGCAGGGAATTGAAGATGTGGGGAAGGGAACGGGGAAGATTCTCATTTGAGATAAAAATATACCCCTTGCAATCTCTGAACACCCGAATGCACACATCACACAGACACGCACACAGAAGAACAGCTGGCAGACAGACAGAAAAGCTCAACTGACCCTGTACAAAACCAAGCCAGTAAATAGCTGACCCTGTGCTCTAGAGGAAATTGAAACCAAAATTGAAAACAGAATTTCCCTAAAGAGATCAACAAATAGCCACAGTGTTGTTATAGTTATTACTGTTATTACTCAGGCTATACCCAGATAACCATAATAACAGTACTTAATGGACCTCGATTATGTGAAAAATGTCTAAATTAAACAATCTGCCAGCCTAGCTTGTAAAAATGCTCACAAATTGCAAATCACAGTATACTTCAGACACAAGCAGATATTTTTTTAACTGGAAAGAATAAATAAGCTTACAGTTCCTTACAGTACAGCTGTTCATAAGGTTGTGCTGATTATGTCAAATGTCTTTGTTTTATCCGTCAGCAGGCAAGAGAGGCAAAGAAAGAGCAGGAAAGCACTTGCCAACTGCAGCATATAAATAACAGGGAATACATTAAAATAGCATCACTACACACTATCAGGTAAACTGAGATAATAAAACGATGAGGCATACCTACCATCTTGACAATCCCACTTGTCTGTCACCTCTCCTTTTTGTCAGATAAAATAGAAGCTGAAAGCAAAAGTAACATTTGTGTGTGTGTGTGTGTGTGTGTCCCAACCACCCACTAAATCTTAAATAATAGGCAGGGGGAAAAAAAAGCTGTGAGAAAGCTGTTATGCCATGCTGAGATAAACACTGCAGAGTCCTCTTCATTGTGAGTATCGCTAGCAGTTCACTGCTGTGGCAGAAGCTATCAGGGGGGTTTAAATATGAAAGCCTTATCAGAAACCTGACACATGACTTAACCCTTAAGATTAAATGAATAATGGGCAGACTTCAAACAGAGGAAAACTGGACTTTGCTGAAGTGTAAAACCTGAAGAATGTTCAGTAGTCAGCCACTTGGTTCCCTGGTACAGAGAGATGGATCTCTCGACGTACATGACCATGTCATTGGTGACAAAGAAGAGGGTCTCTGAGCCACGTTAGACACAGTCAACCAAATATCAAATGTTTGTTTTCACAGTCTGACGGCCACTACACATGCTCCGGCCCTGCCCAGACACAGAGGTGCTACCTAAATGAAAACACAAAACAAGAACAGTCAGTATAAAACTATAGTCACATGGAATCGTGTAATGTTTTCTCTTGCATTGACCCCACTGGGGTTAGGAGACATCCACAACATTTGTGGTTATGACATCTTTTAAACTTACTGTCAATATTATGCTAAAATATACTGACATTTTGGAAATACATCCAAAAGAAGGATACGGTTTAAACCTACACTACATAATAACAGATCATCTATATCAGAGATTTTCAAACTGTAAGACGAAAGCTGAAGGGGGAGTGTGCAGGGCCAGTGAGGCAAAGATACTATGCAAGGTGATAGGGACAGGAAAACGCTGGCATTCTGAAAACAACTGGAAATTAATTCCAGCACAGTCAGCAGTTGCAGCAGCAGTCGCTGTGTCACACAACTCATGGTGGAAAATAAGGTGCCCGAAGTAGCAAAATGAAGTGATTTGTGAGACGAAGAGCATCGCAGCCTGAAACTGCAAGAGCTAAGCCAAAATATCAGAAGTGATGAGAACAGCACCTTATGCTTGAGTTTCAGTGTGTGACCCATCATCACAAGTTTGCATAGGTATGTACATGGGTTGTGAGCAGTTCAGTGCGAAAGAGTGATTGTTTTCACGAATAGTTTCATCTTCTAGATGCCAGAATAAATAAAATCATTCAGACATTCACAAGAAGCAGTCTAACAAAAGGGACTAAACATATGACTATTTTGTATTTTTCCCTTTTCTATTCTCTTTTAATGATTTTATGACCCCCTACAAATTTATCTTGTAACCTCTTGACCCACAGGCTGAGAACAACTGGTCCTTAATGTGATTCAGCGAATGATCCTAATCCTTTTGTTGTGTCTTTTGTGGTTGTTTGCCCCATTTTGTTTTTGTGGTCACTGCTTCTACACAGACATCAATATTAAGAGTGTGTGTGCCACTGCATTCATGTGTGTTTGGGTGTATACCTGTGTCCACTCGTTTGTCTGAGGGTCGTATGCTTCTACAGTATTGAGATACACCTGCCCATCATAACCTCCCACAGCATAGAGACAGTCACCAAGGAGACACACACCAACAGCATCCCTGCTGATGCTCATGGGGGCTACTGCTGTCCACACATCTGTCTGGGGGTCATACCTGTACACAAACATTTACATGGGTTCACACAACACATGAGAGTGACAAAGTGAAAGTTTGACAAGTAGGAAAATAATTGAAAACTGTGGAATTTCTTGCCTCCTCTTTGAGACTTAGTGTTAAGTGTAGAGCTACCAGAATGTTAATTACTGAGCTTCAAAGGTGCAGGTACCGTAATTTCCGGACTATAAGCCGCACCCACTAAATGTAAGACAAAAAGCATTTTGTACATAGCCGCAGGTGTTCACGTTGTAACATGAGATATTTCGACAACCAGATCGATCGCCTGTAACTTGGTAGCTGCATCATATGCATTTCGTTGTGTGTTGTCCATGATGAGGGTGTGGGCATGAAGCAACAAAAGTAGTGGCTTATAGTCCGGAAAGTACGTTAGGTGGATTTTTGGACTTTGGGTAGCTGCTTCCCCTTGTTTGTAGTCTTTATGCTAACCTAAGATAACTTTGGTATTGATCTTCTTATTTAACTTATGCATTATGAGTTCTTTGCATGCAAAGTAGCAACCAGTTTACTTGTCTGTGGCAGTGTGGGAGAACAGCCTGTAGCCTATTACAAAATCGCAGTTCAGCAGCCATGGTATTTGTCTGGAGGAAGCTGTTTTAACCACAGTGAACACTCACATTTTCTTGCTTGCACACTATGCTTTTAATGTTTTGTTCAGCATGTTTTATCTTGTGTTTGTTTTTTTTAAACACTTATTATGCCATTACAAGGAGTAATATAAGCTGAACTAAATATTACACAACAATGGCAAAAGTGTTTGTAATCGCTACTACACCATATTAAAATGTAAATGTTATAAATGGGATTTCAGTGCATTATTGCAGTCATACATTTAAAACTCAACAAGAAATGTACAAATAATAATAATAAAAAATTATTTCTAAAGCACTTTTCTGCTCACCTGAGCACAAAGTGCTGTACAATACAGAATAACCAACATAAAACATCATAGCAATCTATAAACAAATAACACAACATTATCTCTGTAGAGAACTCAAAGCATTAAACATCAGATACAAAGGCCTGCTTAAAAAGACGAGTTTTTAAAACTGACTTAAAGATTGATAACTCAGTTATATTCCGAAGCTCCCGCGGCAAAGAATTCCACAGGCTAGCACCGTGCACAGCGAAAGATCGGTCGGCCCACTTCTTGTACCGAGACTGTGGGACCACCAGTGCCAGGTGCTCTGCAACATTGCAGCACTCTGCGCGGGGTATACACAATCAGCAGATCTGACAAATACTGTAGAGCAAGTCCGTAAATTGCCTTAAAAACAAACAACAAAACTTTAAATTGCGCTTTCCACTGCACTGGAAGCCAGTGCAACGAGCGGAGAACAGGAGTGATATGGGCATATTTGGATGTGTCAGTCAGTTAAGGGTAATATAAAGGTCTAGTATTGTGTTGTCAGTGTTGGCAGTGGGTCATCAACTCTGTCTTTCCATTGCTGTCTTTTTTTAATGCATTTAGATTTTGATTTAATCCTTTAAACAGATAGTGTCAATATCAGTCTTTTTCAAAAATATAGATAAGATGCTGTAAACAATGAACATGAAGAAATTATACAGAAATTCACAGGAAGCCAAATTTACATACACAAAGTAGTTGTTCCATATGAAGAAAGACAAACTTGAGTCTAATATTTTAAAAAAAGAAATTAAGCTTTTAATTTTAAAACGTGTTATAACCCATTCCATTTTTGACGGGCTACATCTTTCCACGTTCTGTCCGAACATGTGATTATAAAGTTCTGGCTGCGCACCAGGCAGAATTGTCTGCAGAGAGAAATATGATGCTGGTTCTCTTGTAATGGTTTGGGTAAAGCATTTTGAAGCCAAACTCCCATAAAGTTAGTTGCAAATAATGCACTGAAATATATTAAACATAATTAAGTAGACTTAAATTACACTAAAATTTAACTACTGAAACTACAAAATATTCAATTTGTTTTATAGTATGCTTTCGGTACATTGTTACAATGATCATTTTGAGCATACTTTTTAAAATATACAAGAACATATTGAAAAATATTGTTCAAAAAGTGCACTTAAGAAATTACACTTGAGTATATTTTCCCGTAACATATTTATAGAAAATGCACTGTATTACAAATATTTTGAAGTGCATTCAAAGTTGAATTGCAACAATTGGTAAAAGCATACTGTTATTATACTTTTATATTAAAAGAAAGTACCATTTTTGGTAGAGTATTTGCAGTGTACTAATTAAGATATTTGAAATACAAAGTATTTTAATAGGTTTGACAAGACAAACCAAAGAAAAGGTAAAAGAATAAAGGCAAAAGAAAGAAGCATATCACCACACAGTAAACTGGGCACTGTGAAATTTCAACTTCAAAAGACAATATGCATGATGTTTGTAACGTCTCCTAAATAAAATGACAGTAAACAAACACATGCATAATTGCTGACTTACCTCTCTACACAGTCACTTAACCGAGATGCCAGGGATGAGGCAGGAGCATCGTGACCTCCGATTGCATACAAGAAGCCATGCCATGTGGCCACACCCACACCTCCACGCCTTTTAGCCATAGGGGCACAACCACTCCACCTGTAGATGGAGGTTATAGTCACCAGAAAGAAAAAGGGGAAAAGAAGACTTTAAAGCAGGTGCTTTGCTGAGGAAGAACCTTCTCTCAGCCCTTCCAGAGCAAACTATAATGAATGTATTTGATAAACAGAAGATGTATAAATGTGCTCTATTCAAATGTCCGGAGAGTTTTAGCAATCTCCTTTGATCTGTGGGTAAATAAACTTAAAAGCAGAAAGAGGCTCCACTAGAAACAACAGCAGACAGGAAATAAAGCATGATATAGCAAATACGTCTGGTCAAATTAAGTCCTTTATCTCCGACCTGTTGGTGTGGGGGTCAAAACACTCCACTGAACGCAGGCAGGATGAGCCGTCACGGCCTCCTACTGCATACAGCCTGAGAAAGACAAGAAGATGGTGTTATCCCTCTGGACATACAAAACACACCACACACATTTCTGCACACTGGAAGTGACTTTTCACTTTAGTAACACTCAAACAGATGGTAAAAGGCATGTATGTGTTGGAGGTGCAGGTCTCTTGGGGTCAAAGTGAAGTGAACAAAATCCATCAACACTCTTGGGGCATCAGAGCCCTGAGCAGTCACTCAGTGTGTGTGTGTGTGTGTGTGTGTGTGTGTGTGTGTGTGTGTGTGTGCGCGTCTGTACATGGATGTGGAGCTGGTAGGGTGAACAAAAAAGCGCATCAGAACCAGTCAAGCACGTAATGAGCTTCATCAGGAAAAGAGCCCAGAGAATACACAACTCATACATGCAAATACACACACACACAAAAAAAAACACAGCCACGCACACAAACAAACACACACACACACACACACACACACACCGCTGCTGGGCATGGTTAGCACAAATCAGTTGTTTCTGTATTAATTAGCATCTATAAAGCCTTTCTGTGTAGCTTCTCTCAAAGGCACTGAATAATAAAAAGAACACTGCAATATGGTGATTTTATTAACTTCTACTGACAGTTGCTGGAGAAAGTGCGGAGATTCAAGACTTGAACTTACAGTACCAAATCCCACTGTGAATGTGTGCATATGTAAGTGTGTCTGTGACTGAGTAGTGTCACATTTTCCATTAGTTTGATATAGCAATGCATCTGTGCAGGTAGGGAGGCATTCTGCACCACACTGATAGTAACAAAACTTTAACTCTTAGTGTGTGAAGCTCTAAACACATTCTCACATTTTATTAAAAAATATGCATGTGCATTTGTCTGGATTTTGTTAATTAATTCACTATTTTTATGGCACACGATGAGGTTCATGTACAGTAGGGTGGCACAGCATCCATACGTGTATAGTAAAATTAATGCTCTGTCCTGAGTCAAAAGTACAGTGATTTTTATACATAGACGCTTCTGGCAGAACACATCTGTAACACTAAACGAGCTTGGCTGATACTTTTGGCTAAAGCAGCTCACGGTAAATGGATTCATCATCCACTGGAACAAGACAACACCATCTACACTTTTAGCATAACATCCCTGCATAACAAAAACACCTGTGTTCAGTGTTGCAGGTCATGTACTAATATTCAGTCTTTAACTTGGAGGTAGTGTAGCTGTGTGAAGACACTGTATGTGTGTGTGGATTTGTGTGCTCACTTACTTGCCATTGAGTACAGCTACTCCCACAGTACTTCTGGGTGTAGCCATACTTGCAACAAAGCTCCACTGGCGAGCTTGGGGGTCCCACCTAGTACAGAGAGAGTAAACAACTTCTCAGTCTTCTGCACCTTTGAGAGGTGCAACAATTAGATTAGAGTAGATTCAATTTTATCGTCATTACACATGTACAAGTACAAAGCAATGAAATACAGTTTAGTATCTAACCAGAAATGCAATAACAGCAGTGCAGAGTGCGCAATTAGTATTTTAATCAAATAGTCAATCAGTAGAAAGGGAATCAGTAACTAGCCTGATAATCAATTCATTGCTTTGGGTTATATTTGAACAAAAAAGCCTAAATTAACTGGTTCTAGCTTCTTAAATGTCAACATTTTATGCTTTCCTCAGTCTGTGATGACTGTAAAATGTATGTTTTTGGAGAACTCTGGGAAGCTAACTGCCATTATATACTGTAAACCAAGTGGTTAATCAAACATGCTTTTTGTACTTTGGGTGAACGGATCCTTTAAGCAAAGTCAAGAACAGTATAAAAACTGAATAGCATTTAGCCAGCTGTGTGAAACATCCTCTCACCTTTCCACTGTGCTGAGGTAGCTCCAGCCGTCATGTCCGCCTACTGCATACATGGGCCCCTCTAAGACAGCTACACCTGCAATACACAACCACATGTGTATGACTAAACACTGACAATTTACCAAAACATTATCAGCTTGGATAAGCAAATGAAACCACACATGTTTAGACACGAGGGATGTGAGTTTTTATCGTGTGTGCACATCACAACCACCACATCTAGGGCATTAAGCGTGCAGAGTTAGCAGCATGCTGACACCATCATACTCAAGGGATTTGTTTGCCAGAACATCTGTGCTGCCAGATGGGTGTATGAATCCCCACCTACCCTCACACAATCGGATGTTGTCATTAGAATAGTAGGTTTACAAAGTGGTTAAACAGCTCTTCAAACAAGATACACAGGTTAAATTCACTCTGCTGAACGTGTCCTTAAGCAACACTAAATCACTTACTATCAGTACATCAGGTGCTGTTCTGTTGCTGAAACTGACCTCTGACCTCACTGTGAAAACACAATTTTCCAGCAAGGATCAATAATAATAATATCACAGAGCCTCAAGTAACTTTATTTTTAAATTGTACATGTAAAATGCTATGTTCAATATTCAAACACCTTAATCAATCCTCTTACAAACAGCTACCCTATTACCCGCCAGTATCAACACTAAAGCCTAATTGAAATTTTGATGGACCTTTCCAAGCCAATTTCAGTTCATACTTGAATCACATTTGTGCTCAAAAGAAGGGGCTCACCTAAGCCATGCCTGTGCGTGGACATGGGAGGCATGACGCTCCAGGTTTTGCTGTGCGGGTTGTAACACTCCACAGAGTTGAGGGTTTTCAGTCCATCTCGGCCCCCCACCACATAAAGACGGCCGTCGAGGACAGCTACACCAAACTGCAGTCTCCGTCCACTCATAGTGGCAACCTGCTTCCACGTGTCCCGACGCAGACAGTACTGCTCAATACTCGTAGCACCTGGAAAACACAAACACATAAACCACCTTTTCACGCCGGGATCATCCACCTGCTTGGAATTAAAACATGTAGCTGCATCCTTTATTTTTTTTTTTATTATCCATATCTTCTTTTTTCTTATGTTGTTGCTTCCCATTTTTAACATAATTTGGGCCAAATAATACAAACATGATACTGACTCTAAAATCTCATCTGACTGTAGGACTATTTTGGAGCAGCTCACTCAGTCTCTTACTGTAGACCTGGTTGTAATGCTAATGTGGAGACATAGAACATGCACACACATCTGTCAGCTCTGATTATGATCGGAACTGATTATGAAATAATTTTACCATTTTTGGGACGATTTATTAATATTTTATGGTTTCTTTTTTATCATCTTAATGGAAATGCCTGTCCTACCTTTCGTAGCATCCATGCCCCCCACAGCGAACATGACTCCAACAGTGGCCTTGCGGGGCCGAGTGCGAGGGCTCTGAAGAAGGGGCCGGCGCTGGGGTAGGAGGTGATACTTCATCCCCTCCATCAGCAGCCGCTGGCACTCCACACTGTCCCGCAGCAGAGGGTTGGACTCCAGGTCTGCCAAGAACTACACACACATACGAAAGGCACACATTAATACACAAGGACACGTGACAAATTGCTGTTTGTATGCGTGTTCTGTGATTACGATGTTATCACTGATTGTGGAGGTCTGGGGATTGAATGAAAGCTGTTCCTCTCACTGATTGAGAGTAAATCAGATCAGACCGTCAGCTATTAGTGTTCTCACACACACACACACACAGGTCATCTGACACACTAGAGGACAAATCTGTCCTCAACATCTCATTAGTTTTCTAGTCCATACCCTCTAACCTCATCTATGAACACACACACACACACACACAGCCAGCGGTGGTAGCATGAAGCTGGTCAAGTCACCAGTCTGTTCCTTAAAATGCATCAGTGTCTGTGAAAGAGGAAAGGTGGTGGGAAGCAAGTGCTCCCTAAAGGCAAAAATGACACAATTTACATTTAGACAGGTGTGTGTCTGTGTACGCTTTCAGAGGAGCCTGATAATTTGTATACATATACTGTATACAGTACACACACACACACACAAATATAAGTATACTTTCCAGGCTGCGTTCCTCGTCGGTGTAGCCATTACGACTGGCTCAGCATCTACCACATGCTCACCAGTATAACACTGTATTCTCAACTCAGTCAACTTCTCAATTAACACTCGCTTAATGTGTTTCTTAAGAGCATAATGAAGAACTGTATTACTAAAGTCTGCAGTTATACATATTAAATCATCCTTTCAACAACCTAGGCTGACTAAGAAAGTCCTGATTCATCCTTTCAACAAGCATCCACCTTGTCCAACCTAGGCTGACTAAGAAAGTCCTGAAGCTCAAAACCCATTGTTACAGACCATATGCCACCAAACCAAACTATAATGTCTCACTCTCTTGGTTGCATTTCTGCCAGGGAATGAAAAAAATATCCCAAACAAGCCCCCATATAAGTTACAATGCCGTATCCCCTGGACCTCTGTGGGGTCATAACACTGTAGTTAGACTTGTTCAAGCAAGAATGCAAAAAAAAAAATAAATAAAATAAAATAAAAATAAAACAAACAGGTTCCACCTCCTCAAACGAGAAAATGACCTGGTTAAAAAAGTGAAATTTATCTGCTTTTCTTTGTTTTTATACTAGGAAACTGTCTATACATGTGGGTTTTACATCAAGCAAAGAAAACATGATGTGTCTTCTGCTATTGTGTGTGTGTGTGTGTGTGTGTGGTTGACTTCATCATCGGAACAGATGGAGCTATGTGCACATCTTTCCAGACCCAACAATCACACACACAGACTTCATGCGGTGATTGGCCAGCTGTTTGGTGATGAGAAAGTAGGCATGGTTTGAACCTGTCCCTTAACTTCTTTTTTACTTTCTCTAATCACCTTTCCTGTCTGTTTTTCTGTTTACATACCAAAACAACACAATGAATGTCACCCAGGAGAGACTATCTGAAAATGTGAGTTGTAATTCTCATATATAAATAATGATTGCATCTTGCCATGTGGAACAACTATAAACACAGTGGATTTCTGATGCAGTCAGACACCATGTTGTATAAACCAGTTTATTCTAGCATAACCCTACTGTTACTGCCTGGTATATCTGTTGGGCACACCCTGTCGGGTTTACTGCTACAGATGCCCTTGTGAGAAAATTAAACCAAGTGTGTGTGCTTTATGTGTGACAGTGGTAATAAGAGTGACGGGATTAAAGCTGCTAATCTGGTGAATCGACATCCTCTTGATGAGTAATCAAATGGTGCCCTAGATAGAGAGCTGACTAATTGGTTGATGAATACTGATTGGTTGTCTGTGTAATGTTTGTTCCTTGGTTAATTGGCATTTTACAGCTCATGAAGTTGCTGATTGTTAATTCACTTGGCAGTTAAGCGTGGTGGTCGAGGCGGGGCTGCTATGTCGTTAAAGGCTGAATCAACCCTTGGGTCTGTGTCTCTTTTGCTTGTGCTCTCTGCTCTGTCACTGTTCCACTGCTGTACCTCTCAGCCATCCCTCCTTCTCTGTGATTACATGTTACAGCTACTTGCGCTTTCAGCTGACCAGGGCAGGGTCATATATCTGAGGTGTTCATATTGTATACCGCACAACTGTGGAAATGGGAAGATGTATAGATGCAGGCAGAGGGAGTGCTGCAAGGGGAGTTTATCTTTACATTCTCTTTGTATACAGCGAGGGAAATGCCTGATGAGGATGATGAAGATAAACAATATAACTGCAGTTAAGGAATTAAATAATTATGGTTTAAAGCATGCAAGTGAGTTTGCATGTGCATGCATCCACAGACAGTAACTGAGGCATATAAACATCTCAGCATCACATTACCAGACACTCTTCCTACATTTGCTAGGAAGGAGATGGAGGAGGATAAAGAGTGCAGAAATATGTGTGCACACACTCAAGTACACGCAGACACAAACGCAACAAACAGCTACACACACCTGACAGAATAATGGCTGTGATCTACGGTTAGCGTAATGGCTATAAAGCTGCTAATTGCCTAAAGGGGATAGTGAAACAGAGTGAGAGACAAACTGGAGCCAGGAAGAAGTAGAATAGAAGAGGGAGGAAGAGATCAGGAGACACATTTGGCCATGGAAAACAATCAGCAGCTCATCAACCAGTGGAGGAAAACTCTTACTCTGTTGTGAGAAACGATAAGATATGAGCCATTTGCATAGTTCAAAATGTGTTGATGGATGCCACACACCAAGAAAAATGAACCACCACCACCACCACCTCAGGAACACATATATAAAATACTTTGGTAAATGTAATTAACCTTTTAACCATTTGCTTCTCAGGAACATACAGGTTTCTTTTGGTTGTCTGTATTTCAGATAAGATAATCATTTTATTTGGTCAAGTATGTTACACACACAAGGAATTTGTTTCAGGTACAGAACCAAGGCAACCATCTGCAATGCCAACTCGCACCGATGGCTCTAGCCACCTGGGGAAACTTCGGCTTCAGTGTCTTGCCCAAGGACACTTCGACATGTAGGCACCATGATTCGAATTTCCAACCTTCTGGTTGGGAAACAACTGCTCTACCCCCTGAACCACAGTCGACCAGCTGATCTTGGGAGCTAGCTGCTGCATACAACTGATCTTACATGGAGAAAAGAAGCTTTATTGAACTGAAATTTCACAAGATATTTCTATTTTACAGCTGAGGAGTACAGTACCTATGCTGATACTGACCTTATGAGTGGATCAGGTATCGACCCCAACCAGTCCACATCAACAGTTTCTTTGTCAATGTCATTTTAAAATTCACAATTTCGGATCCTGTCCTGTTCATTTGAAACTGTGACAAACCGCTTTTAATTTGTGGGAAAAGGCAGCACTGGTGTGACATCAGTAGCTGATTCAGATAGATACTTTAGGTTGGGATATTTTCATAGAAGAGAAAATATTGGATCGGTCCATCCCTAATTATGTAATCACTTTGGGCAATTATAGTATATTACATGACAAGAGTTCTTTGCAGCCCTCACCTGTGGCTGCAGTAGAGGCAGTCGGACGTGAGCCAGCAACAAAGGCAGGTGGCGTTGCCGAGTGGCTGCATCATGACGGACCCACGTTAGCAAAGAGGTCACCACAGTTTCCTCATTGGGCACATTGATGTCATCAGAAGTGAGCAGCCTCTCCATCTCCTCCACAGGGAGCACCAGGAACTCCTGGTCTCCAACCACCTCCAAAAAGTTTTCCTGGCAGAGAGAGAGAAGGAGGAGATGGTGAGAAAAATGAAGATAAAAGCCAGGTTATAGTAAAGCAGAGCAACAGGTTACATGTAAGAGCAGAGTCAATTAGAGTTTTAACAGCAGGGAAGTAACAAGACTCTTAATATTAGTTCCAAAGGCGTAAGGATGGATGAATATGGTATTGCAGAAGAAAGAGGGGGCTGGAAACTGAAAAGAACGAAGAGAATTTGAGTGAAGAGGGATCAAGTGTTGGAAGGAGGCAGGCGAAGAGGAAAAAAGGAAAGAAATAGGGACTTGAGAAAGGTCAAAACGATGGATGAGAAAAGCTGGAGAAAAATAAGTATCTGGAGATGACAAAAATGATAATGATGGTTGTCACTGTACTATGAATGTACGGTTTGCCATAGCTATTGTAGACATGTTTTCACATTTGTATAATTATACATTTATTTATGTTTGAGGTAAGCCTCATCTGTGGGAATAAAAAAAAAACATTTAAATGAGACCTGCTTTTCCCTTAAACTGTAAAAAGGAAACAAAAACTATGTAGACTTCTCTATACCAAGTCAATCTATTGTACAGCTCTTACACATAGGCTACAATAATCCAATGAGCTGTGTGTGTGTGTGTGTGTGTGTGTGTGTGTGTGTGTGTGTGTGTGCGCGCGCGTGTGTGTGTGAATACATATGTAAGTGATTTACAGACACAGGTGGACAGTCACATACAGATAAAGCTGCCTCTACAACATAATTATCCCAGATTAAAGTTTAACAATAATCCACTGAGAGAGAAAGAAGAACACTGATGATGACAGAGACACACACAGAGGGAGAAGGCGGAGAGAAGAAACAGGCACATAAAGACAGGAGAAACAAGACAAGAAAAGAAAAAGAGTAATCAAGTCCATGAAGGAACTATTTCACCATCACCATAGCAACCCTGTGCTGCCATTGGGACTATAATGGGTTTTCAATTTGTTACCAAGAATAACAACAAGAATGAGGAATGACCAAAGTCTAACTGGAGAAAAAGAAGTTGTGAAAGAGAAATTTAGCTGTTAAAACATTAAGCATGAATGAACATCATTATTTTCAAATCAGTATGTCATGATGCAGTCATTTCATTTATTTTCTTGTGGTGGATCTACAAATGTTAGAGGTGCTGATATGAAGTGGCTGTGTACCCACCATGGTGTAGGCGTGAGCGGCCCTCTGCAGGTCATGACAGCCCTGAGCATCAGCGTAGGAGCGGATGCCCAGACAGTTAGAGGGGTGGAGCTGTTTCATGAGGAAGGAGCAGCAAGCCTGAACCACAGATGACAGCTGTAGAAGACAAGAGGCTGACAGCAAAGACTCGATGGTGTCCTCCCTCAGCTCGAGACGGCCTGAACAACAGGGAGATTGAGAAGAATGATGAGCAAAGACAGACCGGAAAAGGACTTAAAACATGTCTAAGATTTCAAGAGCAATATCATTTCAACTCAAGTAAACTGCTCATTAATCTTTCAACTGAGACCAAAATTATTTACTGCAGTATGGAAAATAATAAATCTCTCTTATCTCCACTAAAATATAGAGGCGTCCTCACCAGTTAGGAGCTGCCAGGAGGTGGCATTTAGACAGAGATATGTACGGATTCTGTGGGAGGAATGATATTTTGCTAACACTTAATGACACTGACCTCATGAAAAGATACCATATATCTTGTGCAGGATTCAACAGCTCCATCAGCTAAAAGAACACACGCAGTCTCCACAGAAACCAAGCTCATTAAAACATTACATTATTATTAACAGGAAAGGTGCAGCCTTGCAATGGTGATGATTTGTTACAAGTGACAGTTTCAGCCATAATAAATCAAATCGCTCTTACAGCACCACAGATAATGCACACCCTCCTTCATCACATAGCTTGGACTCAACAAAAAAACCAGCTCCATATCCCTGCAGATCACTGGTTTCCCTGGATTGTCATGACTCATCTTTGGCACCACACACATTAAAATTATTACACCGAGCATAGACAAGGACACTTATGTGAATCAAAATGCTATCACATCATTAACATTCACGTGGTTATGGGTGTGAACTACATAGTCCTGGATTTAGTGGTCAAATGGCCCGGAGCCACACATGACTCAAGAGTCCTAAGAGGTGGTGGACTAAAACTTTTATTTGATAAACCCCAGGAAAACTACTCAATTATAGGAATAAAAGCATTGATTTGATACTGGCTGATGAGGAGCATTTCATGCAGCACATTATGAGTGGCAATAAACTTACAACCTACTTCAGTAATAGACTTGATATAAAGCTCATTACTACAGTTTCTAATAATGGGGTTATCTCCTGTTACCTAGCTATGTTTTTAAAGCCTAGCCTGTCAGTGTTTCAATTTTCCATTAATCTAAAACAACAAACCTCACCTGTCAGGAAAAACAACATGCCCCTATAATGTGAACTTTGTAACTCTGAGTGTAGTGAAACAATGGTGTCACCCTTGATCTTAGGAGCAGAGATGACACTGATGTACACATAGAAAACAACAGCTGGAGTAGTTTGGAAAATTCTATGTGGCAATCTGACCATCCTTGAGATCTAAAACATATTTAAAGGTGAGCAACCCAAGGAGATGTATTGGCTGGGAGGGGGAGCAAAGCCCATTTGTTCCTAATGTGAGATATTAATCTTACAAATTCATTAAACTGACATATTACTTAAATCACAGTTTGACCACATCTGATAATATCATATCATGTGATTTCATCTGTAGAAGGTGAGCAACCTGACAGTGCACTGATTTTCTAACAAGGGAGATACACTTTATTGTTCCTATTGTTCCGACCCTCCCATGTATGTAACCGGGGAAGACAAACAGAGACACCTCTGAACATAACGTAGTCAACACCACCACCTTTGACTGTGACCTCAATAATACACATAGAATGGAATTTATACATGTAGAATAATTTTACCAAACACCGAAGCATTTTGAGTTTCATAAACACAGTTGTTAAGGCAGTGTTGCACTGAATTGCATACAGCGGTATAGGTGTACTTAATAAAGTATGTACCTGTGTATGCATACTGCACCAGGACCCAGAGTGCATCAGGGTCTACTCCTTCCATCTTCACCTCATCCTGCTTGGCCTCCCGCACATCACTGGTGAACATGGCCGCAAAGTAGTCCGACACGGATGAGAGGACCAGCCTGTGGGAGCAGAGTGAGGATGGACAGTTCTAATAGAGGAACAGAGTAATTTGACCTTGCTGACGGGGACAAAGATGCATAAGAGAGAAGGAAAGCCGCCAGGAAATGATGCTACAACCAAACAACGCATAACATTATCACCCTGTAAATATATTAAAAGACACAAAGGAGTTACAATGCATTATTGTGGGGGATATGCTTGTGAGGTAGGAGTGCAGCATCATGTCAAGCAAGTCTGCAGGCTGAAAATATGTATTACTTACAGCATTATTCTGTAAGTAACCACACCAGACAATGACAACTTCTCACATACTGTAGGTCTGTAGTCTTTAGAGCACACCATCTTACTGTGATGTGACACACACATCCACTTATCTATGCAAGAGTGATGAAAAACATTTTTTCTTATCTGCCTGTTATTCTATATCATTGTCTGCTCATCTTAACACTTTCAACGTGGAACAAGTTTTAAATAAATGTTGTCATATTAACATAAAGATGCTGGCAGTAATACAGGCAGAGAAACAGAGATATGTGCATCTTGTAACATTACCGTCATGTCTTTTCATATAGTTATTGGACCAACATATAATTACTTCTTCAACAAAGTGGGAAATTCTACATGTATGCTCTCCAGATAGAATTAAATAATTTATTAGTCAAAGGAATAACAGTCACCTGACTTTGCCCTATGAATGAGACTGTCACCATGGACATTTTTCTCTCTGAAGAGATCTCTCATTTTGAGAGAAGACAACTGCGCAAATAAAAGCCTAAGATGGGCCTTAGGCATTTCCAGATGTTTGTACAATATTGAGGATAAACAGCTTGATGTCCTCCATGCAATAGTCAAACTGCACTGCAGTTTTTCACATACAGTAAAAAAAAAACCCAACTGTAGTCAGATCAAGTCGTGGCATGTACTATGCCAGTCCTTGCAGTCAAAGAGGGTATTATTCAATTTGCATGTGTCACTCACACCAGCTGAGCTCATGGAGGAGACACAAAGAGATGGAGAGAGAAGACTATGCCCACTGAATGGTCAGTATAAAACATTTCTTAATGTTACTTTCATGTCACCATGAAGTTACTTGCACACACACACACACACACATTAAAATATTTAAAAACTGCCAGAAAGTAACTGTTGTGCAGTATTTTTCATCCCTGCCTCTTGGAGAACCTTTGTGGCTGTCTGAGGGAAGCAACTAGACAGTGACATACTATATGCAGCAGTTTTTCAGACCACAGTTGATTTTAGTAAATTTGATGTGCTGATCTAAATATGATTCAAGATAAGGAAACCAATCACATTAAAGTTCTACTTCACTCCCATATTGACAGATTTTTACATGTTGACCTTCTGCTTCCATTGTTGTGTGTATTTTTTTGTTTTGAATATGTATGTGTGTGCACTGAATGTGTTAAGTCTTACGTGTACAATCTCATTACTGAGTGTGACACTGGGACCTTGACAGATGGCCTGAAGCACAGATGAACTGTGTGTGTATATTTTACACACAAATATGTCAAAATTAACTATAAGGAAGTTGTTATTCCAGTATTCCAGGCAGGTATCTCTCTCATCTCTCTCTTGCTCTCTGACACACACATACACAGCATTTCTACTTCTTAATTTTTCATGTGGGTCTCTGTCTGACTTGCTGTGAGTGACACAAGCTACAGTATATACAGCAGCACGTTATTTACACACAAACAAATGCAGTGTGCTGAAGACAGGCAGTGCGCCACAGTGCAATGGAAAGAGCAGGGAGCAGACAAAATGCCAGAGTGAGGAGAGCAGGAAACAGATGAGTTGGACTCAGGAAACAAATCCAAGAGCTGGAAAGTGAACACTGTGTCTGTTTGTGTGCATGTGCTGCTTGGTACAGATGCAGCAGTGGAAAAACAGAGTAAAAACAACAGGAGGGGTGGTGAGAGAGACTCAACTGCTGTGACTTTTCTCTACATACTCAAAAATAAAGGTAGGCCATAGGACAAATACATTCTTTAGTCATAATACACCTATTAGATGAATTGCCAGAGGAAGGATCCTAATGGCTCGTGTTCCCCTGACATCATCTAATGCTACTGTACCAGCAACGAAGTTTTCCCATCTGGACTGGTGCAAAATGTTGTGACATGGTAAAATTGTTGTGAAATGGTTCCAACATGATGAATCCTAATGATTCCCTGACTTGTTTTTCTAGTGCCACCAGAAGACTGACATTTTGTGGTTTTCAGTGAAATGTCTCAATAACATTTGGCTGGATTAGCCTTTCAGCAGCAAAATGGTACAATCTGACACTGCTGCACTGGGTGACACGTTTTTTTCATTATGAAATCCAAGACCTGACTATGTTGCCCCAAAGGCATGGAGCTGTAATTTATTGAAGTGATCACAAGTTAGAGTCAACTGTGCATGCTCTCTGCTTTCTATACATTCCAATAGACCCTCACGCTGGGGTTTACTAATGAAGAAGCATGTCACCCAATGTAGCACTGTGTTTCACTGATGTGTTTTTAATTGTTTTTGAACAACAATGGAGGTATATGGTACAGACAAAGAAGCTGATCCAGGACTGACACACTGAGGGACAGACAGTAGAGGCAATTTATTGTTGGTAGAGAGTATAAGAGGACCCCTTCTGTCAAACTGAGGCGTGAAATGATGATTTATGATTCTGATGGCACCAGAAGGTTTTGACAGCTGATTTATGGTTTAACACAGAACGTTCTTGCTGTGGGGGCGACAGCGCTTAACCTACGGTATTGATTTACGTTAACGGAACACAAACGTTTCAGATCTACTGTAAATGTATACTCACTAAGATCACCTCGTGTCCAGATGAGAAAACAAACACAAAGTTCGAAGTTTGTTCTACACACATATAGAAACTCTGTTTTGCTCACAGTACGCTGCTTGGAACAAACTCCACAAGAACTAGTGGATATAGACAGTACGAATGGCCTATTCCACATGAACGGTGCATTTATTTGTGTGTACATATAAAAGGGAGAGGACAAGGGTGTATGTTTTGTTCCCAGAAAACCACTTTTATCCTACACATACAATAAATCAATTGCAAACAAAACATTCACTTTCAAAGACGTTTTACTCCTACACTCTTACTGACACACCAAAGACATTTTACTCCTACACTCTTACTGACACACACACACACACACACTCACACTCAACACATTTGCACAGATGCAGAGGCACTCTTTCACATACACCATTAGGATTCTCATACAGCAGGGCTTTTTTGTTTGTCACCATCTGTGCCTGGAGGACTCAATCAAATGAGGCAGGAGAGGACGGCAGTGAGAAAAAAGGAGTCTTTCTCCTGGTGGAGGGCTGCGTTTCTGTCCCATGCTTGTGCAGATGGACCCTGCCGCTGCACCAGTGGCCACATGCCCAGAGATCGGACAAAGAGAAGTGGGGGCTGTGAGGTGGATGACAGGCTTGTGTGTGTGTGTGTGTGTGCTTGATGCATGATTCAGAGGCTCAGCTGACCCTGTGTGATACACAGAGACTACAAAAATAAAAGGGGACTATTATGGCCATGGCTGTGTGAAAGGTTCTTTCCTGTGTATGTAGTTTGTGTCATATTTGTTGTTGCCAAATTTGCAATGATATGAAAGAGACAAAGCAACAAATCCTCATATTCAAGAAGCTGAACTCAGCATACTGTCTGTTTGCCTGGAAAGGGACTGAAACTGATTCCTTGACTATTAAAATATTTGCAGATTTATTTTCAGTTGATCAACTAATTGACGATCTGTACCAGCTGTAGTTGCATTTATGTTGAGTGGCACATCTGCGCGTGTGTTTGCGTTTCAGTGAGCATGTGTGTGTGTGTGTGTGTGTGTGTGTGTGTGTTACACAGGTTTCTAACACTGGTGAAGTACAAATAATGTATAGTGAAGAAATGAAGAGTTAAATAATTGAGAAAATTAATCATCTACAATTTTGATCAATTGATGCTTTAAGACTTAAGCAAGCAAAAGTGGCAAACACTGATTGACACTTTTCACAGAAAAAGATTTGATAGTTGTCGGTTTTATATCAATACAAATGAAACATCTTTGGATTTTGAACTAAGTTGTATAAAACCTGTGATATAAGACCTCACCTTGGATTCTTGGAAACTGGAATCATGGGAAAATTTCACACAATTTTTGTCCCTTTTTGGTCCAAACAATAACAAATCAAAGAAATTGAGAAATTGATCAATAATGAAAGTAATCATTAGTTGCAGGCCTAATCTTACGCTTACAGTATATTCAACATCACAATCTTAGCTAAGCATTATGGGTGCAACTAACTAACTTTTACTCAGTTAATCTTTTGAGTATTTTCTTCATTTATTGATGTTAGTAGTTTGGCCTATAAACTGTATAAAACATGTCAATCACAATTTCCCAAAGCCCAAGGTGGCATCTTCAAATGTCTTGTTTTCACTAATAAAACAGTCCAAAACCCAAAAATATGGAGTTTTCTATCACAGAAGAATAAAGAAACCAGAAAATCTTTACATTTGAGGAGATACATTTTGAGATATTTCCTTTAAAGAAAGACTCAAAATGATTGATTGATTACTGCCAAATATTTGCCTCTGACTGACTAATCAATCCACTAATCATTTCAACAGTGCATATAGCATGTCTGTCTCTCTTTGCTCTTACCTGTGTGCAGGTATCCGCCTGTCTCCAGCCACCAGTATGACATCGCACAGCTGCCGGGTCCTCAGGTAGCCCTCCATCTTACGGAAGGTGACATCAGCGTGGGACAGAGCGGTGAACATACACTCCTCTGGGCACACACACGGTTCCATCGACACGCATGAGGACAGTGTGGCGCTGCTGTTAGATGTCCTATACCCACACAGTGACACACACAGACAAAGACACAAAGAGAAGGAGATGAAAGCTTTGAGTGCATGTGTTGATGCTAATTGTCTTTTGTTTGAGACAAAGAGGCAGATGAGTGGAGACAACTATACCAGCTGCTCTGTCTTGCATGTGACATCATCTTGTTTGTACAATTCTCTCAGACGTATTCACTCTTAAACAGGTTTACAGTATGTCGCCAGAAGCAGACAAAAGCTCTTTAATGGTCCATTTACAAGGAGTAAATGCCTAGATAAATTTATTCCACTTAAAAGAGAGCCTGCCAATTAAAACAGCTGTGGGAGCTGAGCCCATACAATATTCAGTAAATTATTCTATTCCCTAATGGCAACCACTTTCCTTATAGCTATACTAACAATGGGAAATGAAGCAGGGTTTAGGGCCAGGATGACTCTGACATTCGGTATTCACAGGTGGATGTGCTGAAGCCCGGGGCTGTTGCGTTACTCTTCCAGCCAGAGCTGATGAGGGGTGTGTGTATGTGAGTTTGCGTGTTTGTCACAGATATGCACTGTTGCCCTGCAAATCATCAGCCATTATGGCTCCCAAACTAGCATTTAATTTATGGAAGCCAGAGCTGTACTTCCATTTTTAATTTAACAGCAGAGGTGGCAGGACTGGTCCTACAGCACAAAGAGATTAGAAATGCAGTGATACTGGAAAGAAGATCAAGTTACAACTCTACACTTAAAGAGAAATCATACTTGTTATTCATGAGGGATGTGTATGTGTGTTTTAGATTCGAAACCCAGGCAAAATTAAAATGTTCTAAATAGCAGTTTTCCGCAGGAATAACAGGAATAAACAGGGACATCAAGACAGCAGCACGCAAACACAAATTCTGGGAATGGCAATAAAGAATGTGGGTTGTGTATACAATAGTAAATGTCAAGTTTGGATATATATTAAATAGGATTATAAATCTAATCATTTTTGTGCATCTCTGTAGTGTGTCCTCTTTCCAGGTCTTTGTGGTTGAAACCCATGTAATTAAGATGAGGGAATTTAAAAGATATTAGGTGTGTTTAACTGGAATTAATCCCCTCGAGGCGTTCCTGAGATATTGTGTTCATGAAAATGGGATGGACGTAAAGGTCATAGTGACCTTCACCTTTGACCACCAAAATCTAATCAGTCCAAAACAGGACTAAACCAGCCAAGGCACCATCACAAAAACACACTCAGCAAACTGTAGCTGAATCATTTTCCAAAAGTAATTTCAATGTTTGTGCATTGCTGTAGTGCTCGTTTCCACTACTGCCATTAGTAAGCAACAATTAATCTGCTATTAAAGAAAGCAAGCTAGTATAAGATTTTATCAAAAGATTTTTTTGAAGAATGCAAAACATCGTCTGCTTATCGTTATTGACAATATCCCAAAAAATTATCTCGATTTCTTTTTGTCAGTATCGCACAGCCCTAGCAGTATTCAGGTTTGTGCGTGCACTGCTTTAGATGAGCTATAGTCATCTCCCCTCTGCTTCTGTCCTTTACTCAACTAAGCCTAACCCTCCTGTCTTCACTTTTATATCCTCAGTTAATCTCACCATCATTCACTTCATTCCACCTCATCCCATCACCCCACCACCCACCTTTGAATCAGTTTTCTCTCTTCCCTAATCTCACTCTCCAAGGCTTTTGGCTAGCTTTCCTGTCCTCTTGTGTTTGTTTGTGCGAGTGTGCTTACTGTATATACAAATGGTGTGGCTAAATGCTGCCAGAGGAGATGGCTTTGAAGTGGGTATATGCTGCCTTCCAGTCCCTTTAATTGAGCCTGGCAGCTACTCAACATGGACAGAGAGGGAGAAACAGAGACAGAGAGAAATATAGACAGGAAAAGACAGAGAGAGGGAGGCAGAAAGTGCATCTAGGGTAAATCAAAACCATGCAGCCAAATTTTTTAAACCCTTGCACCCTGCAATGACACACTTCACAACTGTCTTTCAGTGTCTCTCCCTGCAAGACACGCACCCTTGTTATTGACTGTCTAGCCGGATTAGCCTACAGGCTAACAGCTAATGCAAATGAAACTTACTCCTGTAAGATGATATATTACATGATCATGCATTGGGGGCCATTGTGTCCTTGTATTTTTGATAATACTTGGCAATAAAGGTTATGCCTATACAGCCTTGATGTCTGCCTGGTCACATGTTACATCCTCCATGACACACATACAAAGCTTTTGTTTCCCAGCACATTAACAGGGAAGAAAAGAAGGCAGATGAGTGGACGAGATGAACACGGGACAGGAAGGGTAAGTACTGGAGGCACACCAGGATTAAAAGAGGAAAGTCAAGTGTGGGGTGGGAAGTTAAAAGGGAGAGGACTGAGTGGAGCCGAGTAGAGCCTTCAGCCACTCTGGGATTCTGAATGCATTCCTTCCCATGCTCCCATTTGGGATTCGGCCACCCATGTTTTGGAGTATCATACACAGGAGCTCTCAGATGAAAAGGATAAAAAACACACACGCACAGAGCTGCACACATACACTGCACTAACTAATCTATGTGTTGGTATGGCAACCATAACATGTGCAAGAACACAGGTATAGCTACAGACTCTAAATCTGTTCAGACTCCTATTAATATTGCTCCTT